CGAAGTGATCACAGCGTTACGGAGGGCTGAACCCTTCATTTGCAGGACCTGTGCTAACTCTGGGTGGTTAGTGCCACAATTCAACTGCAGTGCACTAGTTGGTGTTGGAACGCCTGTCTTGAGTCTTCCTAGGGCTCCTTGCTCCAGGATCAAAAGACCCGAGTCTCCCTACAAAGACTGGCTTTGAAATATAGGTGTTGGCTAAGCCTCCTTTAACAGAAGCCCTCTACGGTAGTAGCAGTGCTTCATATTTTTTCTTATTAAAGGAGCATTATTTTAAAGGTGATGGTGATACTGGACATGGTGCATTCGGATCCATGTTAGGGTGTTCTACATAGGTATTGTAGAATGAGGTTGTAAGAGTGACGGCAGATTTCATTTAGAGATTTTGCCTTTTCTAAACCCTGAGTGCTATCAAAGAATAGACTCCTAAGAAATATTCCACAGAACAAAGTAAAGAAATTATCTGCGGGAAATGCTGAAGGCAGTAGAGCCTTGGAATTCAAAACTGAGATGTTGACGCACGGATATAATTTCACATGTTCACGTGAATTGAAAAAAGTTCGTTTTGGTCACTGATTTGATAATGAAGCCTGCCTTTGCCAATTGACTTTTAAGTTATAAGTTTTACATACAAGGAATAAGCCAAATCTGCAGTTCTAAGCTTTTAAAAATACATACTTAAAGCTCATGATATGATACATAATTTTAATAAATAATACTGTATTGGCAAAAGGTTTATAAAAATGTTAATATCTTTACTTTCTCAATTCTGAGTTAAAAAATAAGGTGCCTTGAAATGAAAGAGTTACATTAGTAATTTCATGTCTTTTAAAAGCCTTTTTGGTATACTTCCCAGAAATTGAGAGAGTAACTCAAACAAGGGACGACCTAAATAAGCTGCTTCATGATAAATCATAAAAAAATAATTTTTAGTGATTGAGTACTCTATGATTTTTAGTGTATTCTTAGAAGATTAAAGATTTTAGTGACATTGTTATTACAAAATGATTTCCATATTTACCAATATATTTGGATTTTCTCGGTGTTTATACCTATAAAAACTTAAACTATGAAGAGAACTAATGATGAATCCTGTCTTATCTAGCAATAACTAATATTCCTCTGCTAACATGTGAACTACTGACAAAAATATTGCACCATTAATATCACCAAAAGATACATTTCCAATAAAATATGTCATAGAAGGCAATATCGAACTAAACTTTTTATGGATAAAATTATAAACTTTGGATAAAATACAAGAACTATTACAGTCACACACCCCATAACAATGTTTCAGTCAATAGTGGACTACATATTTACATGAGAGTGGTCCCATAAGATTATAATGGGGCTGAAAAATTCCTGTCACCTAGTATCAGAGCTGTTGTAACATAGCTGTTGTCACATAGCTGTTGTCTCGTAGTGCAATGCATTACAATTGCCTACAGCATTCAGTACATTAACATGCTGCATAGGCTTATGACATAGAAGCAATGGGATGTACCATATAGCTCAGGTATATAGTAGGCTATACCATCTGGATTTGTTTAAGTGCACTCTACGATGTTCACACAACAATGAAATTGCCTAATGACACATTTCTCAGAACATATCCCCATTGGTAAATGATGCATGATTATATTTGGTGACACTAGAAAGTAATCAAAAGCCAGCTGGCAATAATTGATGGGATGGCCACTCTTCAAAGAACTGAAATATAATGAGTGTAATCTATGTTCATACATCTTTTCATCTGAGAACACCACTCAGTTTGCACTGTGAAAGGCACTGGAACTCAATCAAAAAGCCACAGTCTTAACGGCTTAAGGAATTAAAGGATGAAGTCTGGGGCTCCCAGAACAGCTAGAAATTGAGGTGGGAACTCCTGAAAAGGAAGGAGTAATACAGGGAAAGAGTTTCAAAATCTATACATACATTTTGCCCAAATCCTTGGTTAACTCCTGAATTCTGTATGAATGGGGGATATTCCAAAGAGCGCAGAAAAACAACAACAGCTGAAAGAAATTATTGGAAATTTCAGGTGGAATCTGACTTCAATTGAGTTAACTACCTACTAAAACATATCAACACTCATCAGAGGAACATAACAGAATCTAAGACTCTAAAATTATCCACGATATCCAGTAAACAGTTAAAAATTAACAGATATGTAAAGGAACAGAAAAGTTTGATTAATTGTTTAGAGAAAAAGTAATCAATAGAAACTGATTCCAAGATGACTCAGATGTAAGAGTTATTATACATAACTTTTAAAAAAGACTTTAAAAATAAGTGATCATAATGGATTAACAGATGGAAAATAGCAGAGATGCATACACTCTTAAAAAAGAACCAAGTGGAAATTCTAAAACTGAAAACGACAAAATTTCAAATTAAAAAAATCCACTGGGTGGGTTTAACAGCTAACTGGAAATGGCTGAAGAATTGGCAAATTTGGAAACATATGAAAAGAAATTATCCAATCTGAAAAAAGAGATACAAACTACTGGAAAAAATGAACGTATTCCTACTGACCTGTAGGATAATATCAAAGAGTCTAACATACATGTAACAGGAATGCCAGACAGAAAAAAATATTTGAAAAAATAATGGCTGCAATTTACCCAAATTTGGTGGGCTACATAAATTTACAGATTCAACAAGCCCAGCAAAACTCAGGCTGAATATAAATGCAAAAATTCATACCAAGAGCATCAGGTCGAACTATTGAAGACCAAAGATAAAGAGAAAATCATAAAGACAGCTGGAGAAAATGAACTCAGTACAAATTGGGTGGGTGGGTGAATGGATATGATTTATACGCAATGAAGGCTAGAGGACAACAGAATTGCATATTTGAAGTTGAACTTGGAGGCAGAAAGGAGGTTACCATTAATCCAGAATTCTATATCCAGAGAAAATATCCTTTGAAAATAATGGTGAAATAAAAATAATTTCAGATAAATAAAAATTTAGAATTTATCACCAGCATATCTGCATTATAAGAAATGCTTTCAAAAATTCTTCAGAAAGAAGGGAAATGATAATAGATGGAAGCTAAGACCTATAGAAAGGATTGAAGAGCACTGGAAATGGTAAATATGAAAGATTATCCATTGTTTTCTTAATTTCTTTTAAAGACATGGAATTGTTTAAGGCAAAAAGTGTTCACTGTATTTAAACATATGTGGGTCTAACATATATTACAACAATAATATAAAGAATGAGGGATAAATGGAACTACACTGTTGCAAGATTGTTACATTTTATGTTAGGTAGTACAATTTAAGACCTAAGTGCATTGAAATAATTTAAGGATATATATAATAAATAATAGAGTAGGCAGTAAAAATTAATGTCAAGACTTTTAGCAAAAGGTCAATAGAAGAATTAAGATGAAATATGAAGAGATACTGATTAACTGAAAAGGAAGCAGAAAAGGAGGAACAGAGGAACAAAAAAGGGTTACACAAATAGAATACAAATTGCAAAGCAATAGTACATCTAAATCCAACCACATTAATATTACATTAAATGTAAATAGACTAAAAACTGCAATTAAAAGGCAGAAATTATCAGGCTGGCTTTTTTAAAAAAACCAAAACCAACAATAAGCTACCTACCATAAATATTAAATATAAAGTCACAAATAGATTGAAAGGAAGTGGATGCAAAAAGATTTGCCATGCAATCAGTAAGCCTAAGAAAGGTGGAGTTGTTGTATTAATATCAGATAATGTAGCTGTATAGACTTCAAGCCTGGAGTACTAAGATAAGGAGGGATAGTTCGTAAGAAAGAGAGAGAAAAAAATAATCAGTAAAACATAAAAATCCTGTGTATGCACCTAATAACTTCAAAACTTACCAAAGCAAAACTTACTAAACTAAAACAAATAGACAAATCCATAATCATAATTAAATTGTAGTACCCTCTCAGTGAACAATAGAACAACTAAATTTAAAAATCCATACATGTAACCTGAACATTATCAATACTTAACTGAATTGATATGTATAGAAACAATTGATAGGTATAGAACCACTAAATTTGCAGAATACACATTCTTTTTAAAGTACACACAGACTGTCCACTGAAGTAAATATTTTGGGTTATTAAATAAGACTCAATAAATTTCAAAGGTTAAAATCTTAGAGTATCTTCTCTGGCACAACTAGAAATCGATAGTATTATCTAGAAAGGCCCCTAAGTATTTGGAAATTAACACTTCAAAGAAGTGAGTCAAAGAAAAAATGATAAGGAAAATAAAAAACTATTATGAACGAATTGAAAATGAAAGCGTAACATATGAAAAATTGTGGAATGCAGATAAAGCAGTGCTTAAAAATGCATAGCTTCATTTAAAAATAGCTTATATTAAAATACATTAAAAATAGAAAGGTGAAGGATTAATAATGTAATCTACTCTAAGAAGCTAGAAAAATAAGAGGAAGTCTAAGTCCAATTAATGGGATGAAAGAAATTAATAAAGAGCAAAAGTTCAGGTACTAGAAAACAGAAACTTAATGGAACAAGAGACAGGTTTCTGAAAAGACTGAAAAATTTGATAAACTTCTAGCTAGATTAGCCAGAAGGAAAAAAAAAAGAAAATAGAAACTCCCGCTATCAGAAATATCTGAACAAAAACAAGGTCCCTGCTCTCATGTACTTCTAGTGGAGGAAATAAATGTTAAACAGTCATCCAAGGAAATGTATAGGTATAAACTGTGGCAAACTCTATGAGAGAAATCTTCGGTGGAGAGGCCAATATAAGTTGGAGAGAGGCACTCTGCTTAAGTAACTTAACTCAGGCAGCAAGGGTCCACCGGCACTACCACCAGCCGTTCGCACGCGTCTCCCACGGAGCGGGGAGGCAGGTGGCGGCTCCGCGCCCTGTACCGCCCACCGGCACCTCGGCCCTGACGCGCAGGCGCGGGACGGTGCGAGACGGGGCGGGGCGGCCGGGCGGGGCAACCGCTGGGCGGGAACCGAGTGCGGCGGCACTTAGTGAGGTGGCCTCCCGTTTCCCACGCAGCGACTCCTGTTTCTCCGCGATGCCTAGATCGGACTCGGTCAGCTCTCCTCTCTGAGCCGGTCTCAGCGCGGAAAGCACAGAGGGAATCCATGGCGGAGTCCTCAGAGCCCGGGCGGCGGGCGGCCGCGGGCGGCGGGAGCCTGGACGAAGAAGAGGACGAGGAGCGGGAGCCGCTGCTGCCTCGGATCGCCTGGGCCCCGCCGCGGAAGGGCGCCCCGGGGACCGCCGTGAGGCTGGTGGACGCTACGGGAGAGGCGGGTGCGTTGTCTCCTGGAGAGGCGGACGACAAGGAGCTGCTGCTCCGGCCGGCGGACTCGCCCCGCTGCCCCTCCCGGAGCGTCGGGCTCCCGCGGAGCTCGCCCATCGACCTGGACTGGAGCCGCTCCGGGGGATCAGGTGCGACCCGTCTCTGCCCTTCCCATGGCCGTCCCAGAGCTCCCCGCTCCGTCCCGTCCCTCGCCGGGCCCCCTGTCCGACTCCCCGCCCTGCCCCCGGCCCATTCTCTGCCTCGCACTAGTGCTTGTCTAGAAGGAAAGGAAGGCAGTTGGCCAGGCATCCCGGCCGGAGCGCAGGCCGGGGGCCAGCCGCCAGGCGGACCTCGGACACCTTCCGCGCGTGTCCCTCCCGCCCCCGCGTCTCCTGCGCCTTTCCCCGGGGCTGTAAACTACTTCGCCTAAGGCCCGCGGTTGTCCTTCAGCTCTGATCCCTGAGGCCTTCCCTAAGAACTTAACTTTTAGAAGCAGGCACTGAACGAAACTTAACACAGTAAAGTGACGTAAGTTGTTTGCTCAAGTTTGGGCTTGAGTTTTGGGTTAAGAGCCCTGAAGTGTGCAGACGGTTCCCGGAGTTGTGAATTTGCAAGATGAACAGCAAGGACAGCCAGCTGCTACTGGGACACGTTTCAGAAACTTTTGCTATTAAATGTTATTGTGACGTTGGCCAGAGAGGGCAGAGGCAGTTGGCATTTCTCTACCTGCTGCCTCCTGCGAAGTTTTCTTCTTCTTGAGTCATTTCTACGGTTGTGCCTTAAAAAGAAAAAAGAAGTCTTTTCCGTACTAAGCGGGCTGATAGTCTCCCGTGAAAGAAAAGGCAACTGGAATAATGTTGAAAGTTAGTAAAATTTAGGCATGCTACTGCAGGCATGGATACGTATTAACAGAGCGAGTTTTTTGGCATGTCAAGTGGAGCTAGGCTAAGTTGGTGGTAATAGAGACTCCTAAGAGTCCTGCCTGAAGAGGAGAGCAAGCTAGTTTGTAAAATCGTGGTAACACCTGCTTGCTGGTGGTTAGGATGGTTTAAGTGAGGCTGTGTGTGCACTATGCCAGGAGTATCGTACCGTACACGGGAGCTTTTTCAGAAAGCCACAGAGCCCTGGCCAGGCACCCCAGGTGGCCAGAGCGCCCTTCGGGTACGCAGGGGCTGCGCTCAGGCCCGCGTGGGAACCACCAGTGGATGCATGAACAGGCGGAGCGGGGCAGTGCTCTCCTCTTCCCAAGTCCCCCCGCCACCCCCGCCTTCTCTCTCTCAACTCAGTTTTTACAAATCCACAGAAAAAGTAATTGTCATTAATATTGCTTAGTTTTCTGGAGTCATTCAGTTTTTTTTTTTTTTTTTTTTTTTTTTTTACCTGTGCTGCCTACGAGTACACTGATGGGCCTTCTACATTTTAAAGAATTTTAGATAGACTAGGTTATGCAAGTTGTCATCGGACTTAGAGAGTCAAACATATTCTAAAAAAAAGACAAATCAGAGAGGCCTAAGGGAAGCTGACTTCCAATTCAAGTGTTTCATGAACAGTAAGGCTTTAACAGCAGATCAGCTACCACTGTGTTAGCTAATGGATGCACTGACATGACAACAGGTAACAGAGCAAACACTTGAAGTTGGAACCAGATCACAAATGGACCCACATTCATCTAGCTACAGTGATCATTTGGATATTGTTACCTGAAATCCAGCCTGTGAAGTAACTAAAATCGGCATGGTTAGCTTGCCTTTTTCTACCCCAAACTTAACTGGGTGGCTAGCTAAATTTTAAAAGAGGCTAAAACCTTAAAAGAGCCTTTATTCTGTGAAAGTGAGTGAGGTTTTGTAAAAATGTAATATTAAGGCTAGAAAAATTAAAAACGGAAATGTGGTACTCAGAATACAAATGGATTATTAAAGAGAATCCCTACCTTTTTAAATTGTAATAACTTCTATCACAGTTTATGATTTAAGATCTTTTTTGTATATTTCATTAATTCTCACAATAACACAACATGATAGTTACCCCCACCGGTGTAGAGAGGATTCAAAGTGGATAAGAAACTGTAATGACTACTATTTAGTTATAGAACCTCGAGGTCAGCCAAAGTGTCCAGGAAGTGGTATAGCCAGGACTGAGCCGAGTTCTCCTTAATGTCATGCACTTTTTCCTTTTGCTGTAGATCCCCAAATGTTCTAAAATAATTGTTACTTTGGTTATATATTGTAGAAGTCTTATTTTAATGCATTTAGAAATAGCTTTGAATTGTAGAAGTTATTTATAATTTTAAACCAGTCTCCTACAAAGATGCTCTGAACAATTTAACTAGATTTTTAAGTTTAATTTTCAGAGTACGTTAACTTCCTCTAGCCTTTACCAACCAATTTCCATGAAGCCACCTTTCTAGTTCCAAGAAATTCTTGCCTTTAGATTAATAGCAACATAATTTATGACTATTCTGTTTGCATAATTTATGTACTTTAGCCAGTGGAAGAATGTCATATGTTTCTCATCTTTGACAAGGCATGTGACAAAGTCAAGAACCAGCTTAAACCATAGTGTTGGTGGATCAATATCAAAGCAGAAGGATTAGTGGCATTCCTTGGTCTGTCATTTTAATCAGTGAATGGGAGAGTAATAAAGATGGTAATAGCTAATACCTACATAACCGTCCCTGCAGGATATAGTTCTATGCACCTCACATATATTACTCATAACTAGCCCTGTGAAGGACTGTTTTTTTTTTTTTTTTAATTCTCATTTTAAGAGATGAGATGACTTCTCCAAAGTCCTGTTCATACAAACCAGGAGCACTTGCCAATTTTGTTAGTGTGCCTAACAATTAGAGAATTCACAAATAACTACTAAAGTAAAAATAAGAGTGTATTTATAAGCCATTTAATGATTTGTGGTGGCTTATAAACATAGGAACAAAATAAAATTAAAAAACGAAAGATGAGAATGGGAAATAAGGATAATAAAATACTTTAAGATAGAGGCTGGAATAAGTGTACAGAATGCATATCAGACACTTGATGCAGGCAGCCCATATCAGATTTGCTTTTCAGATTACCAACTTGAGATAAACACTATCACTGTGTTCATAAACTTAAAACAAACTGATTATTTGAAGCAAAACAACTCAGAAATGATAACTTGTCATGCATTCTCTTGGAGAAGAAACCATATGTTAGATAATACCTTTGTAATAAAAGTGATTGATTTTGTAGTACTTATAACTTCCCTGCAGCCCATTTCAATAGAAGTAATTCTTATGGGTGGTGCTGTCAGTAGTGCTGGATCTAGATTCAAGATGCTGACAATCTGGCTTAATTTAGAGGAAGGTATTAGAAGAGTAAATGTCCTTCCTGTGTCTTGACAGTTCAACATAACTGAGCTTTCGAAAGACACTAGGCAGTGGTGTGTTGGAGATTATTCCAGTCGTTAGAATACTCATATTCTTTGTTTTTCATTTATTGCAGGGATACAGCATTCATAAAATGTTTGCGTGTCTCCTGGGTACCAGTAGGCCTTGGGAAACAATGTTGACTGGGTATCAAGTGGCTATCCAGCTACCAGCCTTGTCCCCGCTAGCTTTATAGCCTAATGGAGGAATCAGTTAAAACAAACAGTTCTAACCAATGGGGCAAGCTGAGGGTTAGGTAGGTGGTGAGAGGCGGTTGGATTGGGGATATTTATTTAAGGCAGACCCACACAAGTTGCTGATGGATCGAATGTGGAGGGTGAGAGAGGAAAATTTTGGTGCAGGGATGAGTTACTGAAGAAGTGTGCTGGAGTAGGCCCCAAGACAGGGCCTCGTGCCCAAGGAGGAACAGTGGATCTCAGAGCTTGGACAGTTTATCCATAGTGATAGGATGCAGAGGATGGGGGTGAGGAGACGGGGCTGAGGGCTAATGGCATCTTTTTCTGCTCCCTTCTCTTTTCTGAGTGAAAGAGGAAACGACCATCTGCTGAGAGAGGAGCTGTTGGGAGTTTGAGGCAAGGAAAGAACATGAGGTAGTTGTTCAGGGGAGCGGGAGAGCCCGGAGACCAGGGGAGTTGTCTTGGTTCGGGCTGCTGAGACAAGACACCATAAACTGGGTGGCCTCACCATCAGCCATTTATTTCTCTCCGTTCTGGAGGCTGGAAGTGCAGGGTTAGGGAGCCAGCATGGTCGTGCCCCGAGGGCTCTCGCCCTGGCTGGCAGCTGGCCACCTTCCCACCTTCCCAGGGCACCCTCGCATGGCAGAGGCAGAGGGAGAGAGCTCGCTCTGGGCACTGGCTCCTTACGGACGCCCCAACCTCACAACGTCATCTAAACCTGATTACCTCTGAAAGACCCACCTTCTGATACAGTAACATTGGGGATTAGGGCTTCAGCATATTTTGGGGAGTAACAAACATTTGATTTGTTCCCAGAGCGTAGCATGCTTTCTGGGCAGCATGGAGCCCACCTGAGGTTTGTGGTGATGGATTTAAAGTGAGACCGGGCTTTTTGTTTGTGTGTGTTTGTCTTGTCAAGTCTGGCTCTCTGAGCATAGGTGTAGTCAGCTGACAGCGGGATTTAACCAGGGTAGGGGTTTTCCAGGTGACCTGAGCAGGAGAGTGATTATATGATGATTGACCATAATTTAAGGTGACCAAGGAGGGCAAGAAGGGCACAAGGAGGTAAAGATCCGTGACAATCTGGTAAATCAGTGCTTTGTGGTTCCTAGTGGGATGGAAGAATGTAGGGGCTCAGGATGCCAGACGGAGTGAATTAGAAAGGCATAAGGTGCTTAAAATTCAGACTATGGAGAGACGGCAGGTTTGGGTAATGACATGTCTGAGGTATGACTGTGCAGGTGGAGACTTCAGTAGAATGGGAAAAAAAAAACACTGGAAGAGAGGAGTTCAAAGTAATGTGAAATAGCGTGTGATTATGTCAACAAATAGGGATCTTGTGTTCCATGTGTCATTGCTTGAAGCTTCAGAGAAGCGGGGGTAGGAGAAAAAAGAACCAAAGCAGCCCATACAATACTTGATTACATTTTTATACTTTCATGTCCTAATGCTATTAACCTCATCCAGTATTACAGGTTCATATTACCATCATTTTCATAGCTGGTCTTTTTTCTTCTTTGTGTGCTATCTTAACATTGATTTTTTTTAATGCAATAATTATTGGATCCTCAGAGTTGAATGCATTCTTGGATGATCCAGGGTTTGCTGATGTTATATTGAAAGCGGAGCAAGCAATCGAATTTGGAGTTTTTCCAGAAAGAATCTCTCAAGGTTCAAGTGGAAGTTACTTTGTGAAGGATCCTAAAAGGGTAAGAATTTCACAGACCTCCTGTACATAACAGAAATTTTAGAAAACACTTAACTTAAATATGAAGTCATTGTGAATTTCTGAGATAGTTTTCTAAGGTGATTACACGCTCTTTTCAGAAATAAAAGTCAGTTTTTTGGGTGTTTTTTTTTTGTTTTTGCCTTTTTACTAAAACACTACTATTTAGAAATCGAACTCTTCATTTAAAGTTATAGTTTGCCATTCGATTATTTTACTATTTGGTTTCAAGTGTTTACTGAATATTCATTTTCAGCTGTAGACTTTTTGAATTTATCAAAAGTTCTTACCTTATAGTAGCCTATAACCATATTAGCCAAGAAAAGTAGAAGTTTAAACTTTCAAAATCTGTTTAATGTCATTTCCAAATGGCTTGATTTTTATTTCCAAAGTTTTATATTACCTTAGGAATATATTTTTCCTGCATTATACCAGGGTAGGAGCCTGGGAAGTTTGAAGTTATCAGAAAGTGACAAAGTGAAATGAACCAAAGCGTAATTTTAGGGCAGAAAAGAAAAGCTGATATGGGACTTTGTTCTACTTAGTCTAGAGTTTTTCAGATATCAGTGTTACAATTTGTAAAAGCTTTCTGAATGATGCATAGCCAGCAGTTCCTTTTTTGGGAGAAAGACATTATAATTTCATCCAGATATTTTCTGCAAAGATTGAAATTATATTTTAAAACATAATCTTTTTGAGGTTTAAATATATAGGTAATGATTTCTCAGTTTGGTCTGTCGACTTTCTTACTAGTGGTTCAGACTTTTTACATTATAAAGCAATTATATACTTAAAATTATAATAAAATTTTTATTTTTTTGTCTAAGGGACTGTAAATTCAGTTCCTAAATTTAATATTCATGTATTTTAGCAGACCAGTAGTACAGATTATAGCCTATTAGACATCCATGAGCAAAATTTTTTTAAGATGAGAAAATTTATTTAAAATTGGTTCTTAAAAAAATAATTGGAAAAGAGATTAAAGTAGGAGAATCTGATAACATAGATATTCACTATACCCGGGCATTACATTTGTATTTTATGTTTGTCATTATCTTTGTTTAGGGAACACCTTTTGTCATTGTATTTATTAATTTAACAAATGCTTGAATGCCTGTGTATTAAGTACTGTTCCGAATACTTAGGATACAGTCCTAAGAAAGTTCCTGCGCTTTTAGAATGTATGTCAAATGGGGAAAGTAGAAATAAACAAATAAACATGTAATTTGGATATTTAACAGATATTGAATAATAACTATTCAATCTAGAGCAGTGGTTTTCACACATCTTAAAATCAGTGGAATCCTTTAATAACTTGGAAACCCAGTAATATGAAATGGGTGGAATCAAAGTCTATCTGGTTAAGAGGCATGAGGTCTTAGAGCCCTGCCCCCACCTTCCCTTTCACCTTCCCTAAGGTTTCTCAGAGCAGAGTTTGAAAACGACTAGCCAAAAGGATTATTGATTTTTGACTCTTGAATGAGAATGAATGTAAAAATGTGAATGGAACTAAATCCCTTAATATTGGAGGGTTATGTCCAAGTCTGTGGTGGGAAGAAGTATAAAAGATTTATCAGAATGAACTTCATGGATTGTTATCTCTCTATATTAAAAATCTATTAAAATTTCTGCTTTTTTCCTTTATAGAAAATTATTGGTGTGTTTAAGCCCAAATCAGAAGAACCTTATGGTCAACTGAATCCAAAATGGACCAAATATGTTCATAAGGTCTGCTGCCCTTGCTGCTTTGGCAGAGGCTGCTTGGTTCCTAACCAGGGATATCTTTCCGAAGCTGCTGCCTCCCTGGTGGATGAAAAGCTTCATCTGGACATTGTACCGAAAACAAGGGTAAAGGAGAATTTGGTGTTAAGCATGAACTTCGGATTTACAACCTACTTCTCTGTAAACACATCTCTAATGATAGAGCCTAAAGTTGAGCCCGCTTTTTTTGGTAATCCATTCATGAGCGACTAACAAATTGACTAGTGTAGGTCCACAAAGTACCCAAGGGAATGTCTTTTGCACATATGAGATGATGCTGACAAAAAGGAAAAAGAACTAACGTTCAGAGAGCAGATAAAGATCAGGGATCTAGAAATTCTGTTAAAGGTAGAGATAGCTAATGTGCTCAAAGACTGTTTTTTTTCTATTTGTCCTTTATACATTTTTGCTCAAAAACTTCCTCAAAATATTCCTTCTTAATTGTACAGTTCAAGACTATTCTTTCTTTCACTGGCTAATTTGAGGCTGCCTCTCTCAGAGAGAAATATGTGTCATTTAACTGACTGCAAAATCCCTTAGCCTTTCTATTTTAGATTCTCTGAGGCATTTTTTTATAGGATTAAACTTTGCTAATTTACAGTACTCGAGTGAGTTTCATGATGTATATGAATATAAGTACTATCATGCAAATTCTAATAACCACTTTTCTAAATCATATTTTTAGGTGGTTTGGCTTGTCAGTGAGACATTTAACTACAGTGCAATTGACCGTGCAAAAGCTAGAGGCAAAAAGTATGCTTTAGAGAAAGTGCCCAAAGTAGGTAGAAAATTTCATCGGATAGGACTCCCTCCTAAGGTAAGTTTCTGTGATAAGCTTTATTTGGGGGGCAGTTCAGCACCTGTTACCTGAGCTCCATGTGCTCGGCATTGTGCTGTGGGCTGTGGATTTAACAGTAAAGAAAACAATTTTTCATCTTTCAAGAGCTTATAGTAAAGAAACAATCTCAATGCAATATAACATTGTTAGGATGGTTAAGTGCACGGAACTCAGAGAGGCTAGACGAGGGATGTCTGACCCATTTTGGAGGGCTGGGGAATGTTTGCAAGAGGAGGTTGCATCTAAAGTTTATGAAATAATGGCTAAAAGCACAGGTCCAGAATCAGAGCTAGGTTTCACTCCCAGCCTCTCTACCAGTTAGCTCTGAGACCTTAGGCTAGCTCCTTACTCTCCAAGCCTCAGTGTCCATTAAGAAAGGGAGTTATTAAAACTACCTCTTAGAGTTGTGAGGACAAAATGAAGAAAATTTATGTCAACTATTTAGTACAATCCTAGCACATAATGAAGTAAATCATAGTAACTATGTTAACTCATTAAATGTTAAATTTTGTTTTTTCTTACCACTTTCAAATAAACCTAAGGGATGATTAGCAGCTAGCTAAGCAAGGGTGGGGAGGGTTAATGGGAAAGGTATTTTAGAAAAAGCTCTAGGCTTTTAAAATATATATATATATAAAATTATAATATAAAAATATAATTATATAATATATAATTATATATATACATAATTTCACCTGTCGTTTTTTTGCATTGTAGCTGTGTAGTTACCTTTTCACACAGCTAATAGATAAAAGAATTTGAGTAGAAATTCATGGTCAGCCTTACTTTTTCTTAAAATTGTACTTGAAGTAATCAAGAAGTTGGAAAAATTTTACACGGCCTGTTACTTCCTGGGTATGCTGAAATAAAGGTCACTCAAAACAGATATTATTTCCCTATTTATGACTACTACAACTTCATTATAAATGCTTTAGAGAAAACCTTTAGGAAATCATTAAAATTTCATGCCAACAATGAGAACATAAATTGTTAAGAAAAGATAAGAAATAGATTTTCTTTGTGGTGATTTGCTTGTACTTAAGAGGCCAACTGTGTTACCCCATTACCTGTGTGCCATGGGCTGTTTAAATTTGTATTTCCTTTAATAACTTTTTTAATGTTAACAACCAGTAACTTTTAGTGATAGAAATGCCTTTTATCCTAAAATAACTGCTACACTCCTTGAACATGTAGGGTTGAACATTTTTTATTTGCTCTGTATTCTTTTTATGCGATTATTTCAAATTGGTGTGTAAAAATAGTGTTCTTGATAAATGTGGCTTATCTAAATTGGTGTTAACTCTTTTATTTTTCTTATTGTGTTATATATTTTATGACAGTATTGCTGAGAAATTAAAAAAATAATCCCTTTGTTCTTGTACTTTCTTTTCTAACTATAGTTCTTAAAATTATAGATTGGTTCCTTTCAGTTATTTGTTGAAGGTTACAAGGAGGCTGAATTTTGGCTTAGGAAATTTGAAGCTGATCCTTTGCCTGAGAATGTTAGAAAACAATTTCAGTCACAGTTTGAAAGATTAGTGATTTTGGATTACATCATCAGAAACACAGGTATTGAAGTTCTCTCATTTGTTCACTCAAACCTTGTTTGTTTTCAATGCATTATCCAAATCACAGTCATAAAGTTCACATGCAGAAGTCTTGAGTCCACTTTTTCTCTACCTGCCTGGTGGTGGTACTCTGTCCCTGTCCCTAGTGGGGTGTTCTTGGCAGTAGGACAAAGCCAGTTATTAGAAATGTTACCTGCATAATGCGAATAATTAAAACTTGATCATATAAATTATTTTAGATGCTCATTTTGACTGTAGATAACTTAGTGTATTGTATAAATACTTTAAACTCTTAATTTTGGGGGGGGTGGAAGGGAGCAGTGATGTAGGTAATGTAACAGTGTTCCCCAGATGGCGCCTGGCCTGTGAAGGTCAGTGTTATGTGGGGACTTGTTATGCATGCATCTTCTAGGAGCCCGCCCCAGACCTACTGATGCAGAAATGCATGTGGGAACCAGCGGTTTGTGTTTTAACAAATACTCCTTGTATTGCTGCTGTACTCTGAAGTTTGAGAACCGCAGGTTCAAAATGTTTACTCATTTATATTGGTTTCTCAACAAGCATTATATACTTTTCAGGATTTACCATCTTAATTAATGTGGTCTTAGGTTAATGTTAAAAATTAGTGTAAAGCCTAGAATACCCCTATACAGGTATTAGGTGAGAGCCTATCCAGCTATTTGCCTAGTGACAGGGTTAGATGCTTTTTCTGAGGTGAAGAGAAATTATTCTTGATTTTAATAACCTTGATTTAATAGTTCTTGACAATAATTGTACCTACCTCACAGAGTGGTTGTGAAGATTGAATGAATTAACATGTGTTAAGCACTTACAACAATGTCTGGCACAGAGTAAATGCTCAAAAATGTTAGCTAACATTTTTTTTTTGAGATTTTATTTATTTTTAGAGAGAGAGGAAGGGAGGGAGAAAGAGAGGGAGAGAAACATCAGTGTGTGAGAGAAACATGAACCAGGTGTCTCTCGAGTACCCCTAGCCGGGGACCTGGCCCGCAACCCAGGTATGTGCCCTAACGGGAATCAAACCTATGACTTTTCAGTTCTTAGGCCAGTGCTCAATCCACTGAGCCACACCAGCCAGGGCTCAAAAATGTTAGCTAACATTTATAAGTATTTTTTAGTTTGCATGTGTTAAATTGGAGCCTTTAGTATGTAAACATAAGTCACAGATAACCAATGAAAGTCTTGAAAATCAAAAGGTGACTAGATTTCTTCCTTGATTTAGGCTATGATATCCCTAAAAACAATGGAGTAACAGATTTTTGGTTTGTTTGGTTTTTTTTCCTATTTTGAAAGACAGGGGAAATGATAATTGGTTAATCAGATATGAAAAGCAGAAGCATGGAACAGAAATTAAGGTGAGAACATTTAAAAAGAATATATATGTATACACATACACACACATATATACCATGAGTCTCTGTAAAAGATTCCTTGAAGTTATTCTTCATTGTTTTCTCATTTCCTTCACTTAAAACCTTGGTTTTTATCTGTTTTTCTCATCTTTTTTTCTTCCTTTATTTACGTTACACTTTTAAATTCTATTTTTTAAAAAATCTCCGTGCACCTTATTTTTTATGTTGCATTAGAATAGAAGAATATTACCAGCTTGGTACTTTCTATAGAGCTTAGGAAATTTTTGTAGAACTACCAGATTTATTTTGCTTTTCTGTAATAAAGGCTTCTGATATTTTTGGTCATGTTTATATGTTGCTAATGTAATTCTTTCTGAGCCTTATGACTCAGTATTAGGTTATTACAAGTATTATGGAACATGCGTCCTTTACCTGTGATTCATATGCATTGAAATTAAAAAAAAATGTACTTCCACTTATAAGCATCTGGCTTTAAAGTATATACTGGACTGCATAGACCTGTAACACCATCAGAGTGATAGCTTTTTGATCAATTTTTGTCAGTTTTGGCTACCCAAGTTCAAATTTTAAATATTGACATGAGCTATTTTAGAATAGTTTTACTAGTTCAAAACAGTCTATACATTTGAGAAAGTTTTAACTAGTTAAAAAAATAATTTCTCCAGTACTTAAAATCTCTGTGTTCTCATCACTTAACACTATGGCATCACTTTAGAAAGTTTGTACTTTTCAGTGCTTATCAAAGAAATTTAAAACTTCATATTCATAGTACTTAGCAATAAAAAAAGAATTAACTCAATATAGACAGTAATGTGGATCAGCCTTAAAATCCTGCTGATTGAAAGAAGCAGTGAAAGAAGTTGCACACAAAGGGAACATACTGTCTGATCTCAGTTACATAAAAACCTAAAAAGTACAAACTAATCCCTATGACAAAAAGCAGACTGGTTGCCTGGGGTGGGGTAGAGGGAGAGAGAGACTGCAAACGGACACGAGAAACTTTTGGGTGACGGTTTCATACCTATCGATGCTTATCAAATTGTACATAAATGCCATTTATAGCAGAAATGGGTTTAAAGTACCGGCTTAAATATATATAACTATGTATATAATTTATACTAGTTCTTAAATATATTTTGTTGGTATATTTTGAGCAGTTAGATTTTACTGAAGACTTCATTATTTTGCTCTTAAGTATTTTGTGCATTTTTACTGAGATATTTGATATAAACTAAAAGAAATAAACCTGGCATATATCACGCAGACCTTTAATAGTTTCAATTTTTAAAAAAGATTATTAAATTTCTTGGGGTGATGGTTAATAAAATTATATAGGTTTCAGGAGTACAATTCTATAATAAATTATCCTTTATAGTATTTGTGTTTTCCACCCAAAGTCAAGTCTCCCTCCATCACCGTATATTCCCCCTACACCCCTTTCTAGCTCCCCCACCCCTTTTCCCCTCTGGTAATCACCATACTGCTGTGTGTTTTCTTGAGGTGCTTTTTTTTTTTATTTTTTGCTTAATCGGGTCACCTTTTTTTGACCCAGCCCCAGTCTCCCTCTCCTCTGACCGCTGTCAGTCTGTTCTATATCTAGGAGTCTGTTTCGATTTTGTTAGTTAGTTTATTTTGTTCTTTAGATTCCACATATAAGTGAAATAATATGCTACTTGTCTTTCTATGACTGGCTTATGTCATTCAGCATAATACTCTTCAGGTTCATCCATACTGTCGCAAGTGGTAAGATTTTATTCTTTTTCCAATGGCCAACTAGTATCCCATTGTGTCAGTGTACCACAGCTTTTTTTATCCACTCATCTACTTTTAATTTAAAAATTACTGATTTAACCTTTTATTATTTTATCTAGGCCACTTAATAGTGGCAACTCTATCTTTAAATAATAGGAAGTCTGCTTTATCATGAGAACCTTCTTGCTCCTGATGTCTTTGTTTCTGCTAAAGAAGAATGTAGAAGTTAGGAAAGGACTAAATTGTGTAATCAAGTTTCTCGAGGTTCCTTCTCATTAGACTTAGCTATGGTCTTTGGAGAGTTCTATTTAGAAACATTTTGTATTTGAAACTATTTCTATGGGACTCTAGGAAAGATTGGATTTTAATAAGGTAACTCTTTAAGTTGTTAAAAAATCCATATTTTGTAACTTTCATACATTTAAACAATGCATCTAGCAATATATTATCCAAAATAACACTTTAAGTCTTAATAATTCCAAGTGCTCTTTTATAAAGGGGGGAGGGGAAGAAACCATTACTATGCAAATTTATAATATCAAATTTCTAAATAAAATACTGATTATGAAATTCTTACTTTTAAGAGTCTGTGCCCTTCAACAGTGAATTTGTACTTTCTGGGAACTTATTTTATAGGCTCTTCAGATAAAATGTCTTTAAACCTCAATAATTACTGTAAATACTTTAACTGTTAAAAATATTTATATACATTTTTTTATCAACAGACCATTTTTCTCCTTTTTAGGAAGCAAATTGTATTGATGATAAAGAATCGCTTATTAAAATAGCTGCAATTGATAACGGTCTAGCATTTCCTTTTAAACATCCTGATGAGTGGAGAGCATGTGAGTATTTAAAACATTCTAGAGGTTATGTAATTACCTCTTTTCCAGAAAAGGAAGGGAAGAAAATTTTTGGTCATTAAACTAGCAGGAAAAACACTGGGTGAAGAATTAATCATTAGGACTCTGTTCTGGGCACTCGATACAGGGACGTGCACTCGATACAGGGACGTGCACTACATGGGTCTTGCCGTCTAGTGTTTGCTTTGGGTAATGGTGGCTGGTTTTGATTTTTGGCTCGTGTTAGCTTTGTAAGTTTGATAGCTTTCCACTTTTAAATAAATACACAAAATATTATAACGTGGAAATTATCTATTTAATATTTTGGTAGAGCTTTAGTTTAATGTTTTGGGTAATATTCACTGATAAAACAATTTAAGTCTTACCCCCTACACCCCGTTTTTAGTGAGTGGTATTTTAACTGCCTTACCAGTCTACTGGTTTGATTTCTATGTCTTAAAAGTCTGGTTTCTATGTCTTCTTAGACCCATTTCAGATTTTTTTCTTTTTCTTTTTTTTTAAGATTTTATTTATTTATTTTTAGAGAGAGGGAAGGGAGCGAGAAAGAGAGGGAGAGAAACATCTATGTGAGAAACACCAATCAGTTGCCTCTCCTACATGCCCCAGCCAGGGACTGAACCTACCACCCAGGCATGTACCCTGACCTGGAATCAAACTGATGACCTTTCACTTTGAGGGATAACGCCCAGCCAACTGAGCCACACCAGTCAGGGCGAGACATTTTTGTTTTGCTTAAAATTGTCCATATCTTGTGTTGTAGATTTGTGCGTATAAAGCTTTTTTATAGAATTCTCCCTAAAGTAAGAAAATTTCTTCCATGTATATTAAGTATTTGGGGGTGAAATGAAATGTCTGGAATTTGCCTTAAAATACTTGAGGAGAGAGAACCGGGGGTAGAGGAAGTTAATTTTGTAAAATTTTAGGAATAATTGAATTAAGTTATTCAGAAATGGCAACTCATACTAGTATTTTCATTTTTGTATATGTTTGAAATATGTGTAATAAATTTTAAAAGTAATCTCTGTATCTAGTACTATGCTTCTCTGAAATTCCCACCCTTCATTAGTAGCCTTTCTTCCTTCATTAAAGTTGCCAAAGATCTGTCTATTATAAAACATTGGCCTCTTTATGGTTTTTTATGTGTGTGTGTTTTAGCTAATTGGCCTTTTATTGATCAAATTTTCAGTTTATTTAGTTGCTTTTTATTTTTCACTGATATACATTTTCCTTCATTATAATTTTCTTCTGTATTCATCGTCTGTTACTTTTCTATATGCTTCTCTGTAGATTGGCTAAACCATAGATTGGTCGTGTTTATTATTCTGCTTTATAGAGTCATAATTTCAGATTTTCTTTTTGACAGGAGTAATTTAGAACTGTTGGTTCAATTGTAAAATTTCTAGATCAGTTGATTTTTTTTTAAACTGTCGATTGTTATTTTCAAGTTTTATTGCTTTTTGATCTGTGAATGTGGCTGTAATCTGATATATGGCCAGTTTGAAGGACTGTATTTGAAAAGAATGTTTGGGTGCAAAGTTGTGTTTCTCTCTACTAATTAAAGCTTATTAGTTGTCAGTCAAATTATATTCTTGATTTTTTTTAAAATTTAATCTGTTAATTTTTGAAAGAAAGTTAAAATTCACTGTGATTGCGATTTTTTCAATTTCTGGCATTTCTATACATTTTTTCCTTTGTATTTTACATTCCTAAAGGCCCAGCGTTTTATTTTGCTGGTGGTTCTGTTCTTTTATCACTGTGAAATGTATCCCACTTTATCCCTCTCGGTGTTTTTCTCTTTTCCGCTTTCTGTCTGTTGTAACTTGGTATAACCTCAGTTCTTTTTATTAGCATACCTGGTATTATTTTATACTTTTATTTTTAACCTCTCTCATTTTGTTTTAAGCATATGACTTATAAACATCACTTAGCTGGATTTTTTTAAACCAGCCTGAGATTCTTTTACTAGGTACACGTAACTCTGTAGTTTGTCTCAATAAACAATTGATATGTGTGAACTTTTACTGCCATCTTACTTATTTCTGTTTACTCTAAGTTCCAATTATTTCCTTTTTTTCTTTTCTGTCTTTCTTGAACTGACTTGAGATGTCTTTGTTCCATTTCTTTTTCCTCTAATGATTTGGAGTCTGTATACGAATTGCACTTTAAAAGTGCTAAGTTTAAGGTACCTGCATACATCTGGGGAATTTTATCAAACATACAGCTGGGGACTGAAGGTCTTGAAAGAGGAAATGGTATTGAGGATATACGATATTTCGTCATGTATAATGTGCATCCATTTTTTTGGCCCAAACTTTTAGGAAACAAATCTTCCATTTTAATTTTTTAATTCAATTATTTATTTATTTATTTATTTATATTTAGAAACAAAACTGATTATCATATTCCAGCATATTATTTTGCATACAAATATTGCCACTGCTTTCTAGAATTGTACTTTTAACACACAAGCATAAATAAAGAATTTTAAACATTTATATAGATACGGAATTAGTACTACCCATGTATAATGTGTATCCTTATTTTTCCCTCAAAAATTTGGGCAAAAGAGTGCATATTATACATGGCAAAGTACAATGGTTTTTTTATTTTTATTTTTTAAATATATTTATTGATTATGTTATTACAGTTGTCCCATACTTCCCCCTTTATCCCCCTCTGCCTGGTACCCTCATTTCCCCCCCTTAGTTCATGTCCATGGGTTGTACATATCAGTTCTTTGGCTTCTCAATTTCCTATACTATTCTTAACTTCCCCTGTCTATTTTGTACCTACAGTTATGCTTCTTACTCCCTGTACCTTTTCCCCCATTCTCCCCGCCCCCTCCCCACTGATAGCCCTCCATGTGATCTCCATTTCTGTGATTCTGTTCCTGTTCTGTTTGCTTAGTTAGTTTCTGTTTTTGTTTTTTAGGTTCAGTTGTTGATAGTTGTGAGTTTGTTGTCATTTTACTGGGAGTTTTGATCTTCTTTTTCTTGGATGAGTCCCTTTAACATTTTATATGATAACGACTCGGTGATGATGAAGTCCTTTAGCTTACCTTGTCTGGGAAGCACGTTATCTGCCCTTCCATTCTAAATGAGAGCTTTGCTGGATGGAGTAATCTTGGATGTAGGCCCTTGCCTTTCATGACTTTGCATACTTCTTGCCAGCCCCTTCTTGCCTGTAAGGTTTCTTTGGAGAAACCAGCTCATAGTCTTATGGGAACTCCTTTGTAGGTAAAGGTTCTCTTGCTGTTTTTAAGATTCTCTCCTTATCTTTAATCTTGGGTAGTTTAATTATAATATGTCACCATGCTAGTGGAAGCCATGGTGGTGGTTGCTATCACCCAAGGGAATTATGGTGAACAGGTACCATCACTAGGATAGGTCCAAGTGCATAAGTCCTGAGTATTTCATCAATGTCTGGTAGATGAATGAGAGAAAGGAGTAAGGATCGAATCTAGGGGAGCAGTGACATTGAGGAAGAGAAGGAAAGCCAGCATGCCAGAGAAGCGGCTTAAAAGACAGAAGGTAAACGTTGAGAGCGGTGTCTGCAAAGCCACAGAGGAGAGCATTTCACCCAAGGTGATGGTAGAAAACAGTGATGCAGAGGCAGAAGTAGATGAGGGCTGCAAATGGGCCTTTGGGAGACTCTTACGCGATGACCAGTGGTCTTGGGGGGAGAGGGATAGTTGAGGAGTAGGAACTGGAAGTAGAGGCAGGCATGAGAGTAAACACTTTTCTTTTACATAGTTGACCAGGAAAAGGTGAAAAGGACATTGGATATAACTTCAGAGAAACACGGGCCTGTGGAAAAGCCTTCTTTGGAATGGACTCTGAGGCAGATTTCATCCTCAGGGCTTTCCAAGCGGAAGCAGCCTATAAAGCTGGAGGTGCTCACCCAGTGCACCCACAGCACTATGGGTGATCACGTCATAAACTGCATGCTTCTGTGCAGGAGGCTGAATATGCGCTCTCTCTGGAAGATTCCACTATACAAATCTTTCTGGTCCTGGAACTGTGGAGGTAGTGGTCTGCTTGAGAGACAACTACAGTTAGCCTGGAATGATGGGTCTTTTGTCCCTTAAGGCCACCCACCTATTTACCTACTAATAATTTAAAATTTTAGAATATGGGGGCGTAGGGGAAGTGGCCAGTTCCTGAAGATTTGTGGCGAGAAGTGCAGGGAGACCTCAGCCAGGGTGTTTTTGATCTAGGGCGGTGAGCAAATTACAGCTTATCTCTTAATTTCCAAATTTAGGAACCAGAGATTCAGATACATGTTTTTATATAGGGCTGTTTGAAATAGACACATTATCAAAACTTGTTATTCTTTAAAACTCAGAAACCTAAGTAGTTCAGGTAATAACTTTCTGTGTTTTGCTGTCTGAATTAACATGCAAACTTGGAATCTGAATAATTTAGATAACACAAGATAATTGTTTTCTGGTAACTTGTTTCTCCTGCTTTTTGAGGACCTGGGAATTGTAGGAAAAGAACAGGATAAAGGTGGGTCAGAATAAACCCTTTCCCCCACTGATTAGAATACTTTTTTCTGTTAGATCCATTTCACTGGGCTTGGCTTCCTCAAGCAAAAGTTCCTTTTTCTGATGAAACAAGAAACTTGATTCTACCATATATTTCTGACATGAATTTTGTGCAAGATCTATGTGAAGATCTTTATGAACTTTTTAAGGTAAATACATTTTTAGTTTTAATTATTACATAAAATGAAATCTTAAAAGAGATTTTTCTCAATAGAGCTAATTTGCAATGTACTGCTTCTGGTATCACTTCTTACAGTAGAATTTGGCATAACAGGAAGGAATTAGAAGCATAAACTTAGGAAGTTACATTTACTATGAGCATTGTTTGAAATGAGACTTAGAACTTGAGAAATTGTTTTCTTCGAAGTTGAATATTTATAAGATGACTCTAAAATTATAATAAATGTTTGGTGACCTGCTATAATTCTCTCAAAAATCCTAAACTCATTGTCTGGAGTGTCATTTTAAATCCTTTTTGGAACAAGTTGGAGTACAAATAAACTATTCTTATTCTAGGGGTGTACAAAAATACCTCAGGTAAAAATACCCTTTCATACGTTATCAGTTAGGAAAGCTTCCCAGTGACCTTATGTACCAAGTTGAAAGAGTTCATTTATTTCCAAATATTTGTTTCAAAGATCTTGATTTTTTTAATTATAATGATTTTTTTTTTCCTTTCTGTAATAGATTGACAAAAGATTTAACAAAGCCACTTTTGAAAGTCAGATGTCTGTGATGAGGGGCCAGGTAGGTCACCTTTTTATGTTCTTGCAAAGAAAAGAAAAAAAAACTCTCTTTGAAATAGTAATCAACTTTCTCCTCCATTGTGACCCAAACCTGCAACTCTGGACACTATAGGTGAACCAAAATAGCTCAAATGATTAGAAATGAAGTTGATTTTAATAGTATCTTTCCTCTATTGTCTTATAAATTAGATATCCTTGACTTTGTTGTATTTTGTTGAATTAGCCAGTTTCCCCCTACTGAGAATTCTTTGTCCTCATTTTGGTAACATTTTCCTGATTGTTACTGTCTTTTCCTCCTCAATTTGACTTGCTTAGATGTACTGTTGCCTGTTCATTATTTGCTTCATAGAGCATGTTTGGCCTTTGCAAGTGCAGTCAGTCAATAACCATGTCACCAAGGCTGAGCACTGGTTGGGGCATAAAAGTACGAATTGTATCTCAATCCTCTCACCCCTTCTCACCTCCTTTAAGGAGAGATACAAGATACTTAGGTCTGCTGGTGTGGACCTGCAGGCTGGTGACCTACAGAGGACATCTGGTTCCTCCACCACATTAATAGTATTCAGAGTCCAAAAAAAAAGGCTTGAAGTGGAAATAAAGTATACTGTAAACATTGTCTTTTAGTGACTTACTAATTAACTTTTTTAAAAAATATATACATTTAACATAGGGTAGCTGTTTGCTGCATTCCTGTGGCAAAAAGACAAATTTAGATTTTGCACTATTATGTAATTATAATACATAAATATAATTAAGTTAAATAACATTTATTCACCAAATACGTATCGTCAGAACTAGTGCCAGAACTTGTTCTAGTCATTGACATAAAGCAGTGAGCAAAACCCAGTTCCATTTCTCAGGTCAGGGAGAGGGGACGGATAATAGCTTGTACATCTCTGTACTCTCTTGTTTTTAATGCAGTGCTTGGCTGCAGTCATAAGTTTTAAATAGCAAGGCAGAGGCCTGGGCAGCAGCAAAGATCCAGATCATGAAGGGCCTTCGGTGCCAGAATATAGATTCTACACGGAAGAGATTGGGACAGTTAAGAGATTTAGCATTAAAAGGGGTTTTGGTGAGACTGACATTTTCAGAGTGGAGACCACATCCTGGGTTTCTTCTCTGGACTCCCTGAAATCGTGTGTTAAATTCCATTTATAAGTGTGTTTTGGGTGTAGGGGGAAGCTATTGGATTTCTCTCTCTCCAAAAGACATCCCTGTCCCAATAAAGATCCAGAGCCACTGTAGAAGGTTAGGCTGGACAGTGGGGTGCAGGGAGCCTTTTGGGGATGCGTTTTCGGTAATTCAGACATGAATGAAAGGGTTAGATGATCAGTGATTGTAATTATGTTGCAGAGTCTCACCATCCCTACAATTGAATTTTCAGGCATTGATAATTATGCCCTAATTTGACCTTCTTGCTCGAAACAAATTAATTTATAAACATGTTCCATCTTCTGAAATTGTCATATTCCTAAATATACATCTTTATCTTAGGAATAATTTTTAAAAATAAAAGCTGTAAATAATTTTATAAGCTGTAATTGTTGATTAAAGTTATTACATGGGGAATTTAAATTTAAAAATGCTTATCTGAAAAGATATGGAGATATTCCAGTACTGAGGTCTGTTACAAAGCTATACCAGTATCTCTCTGCTATTTAACTTTATTTATTCATACCCTGTCTGTCTCATTCACAAAGGAGTTAAAGTATCATACAGATGTATGTAATGAAATAGGAAAATGACAGGATCAACATCTAGGGAAAGAAAAAAATAAAACCATACTTTCTTTACATGTTTTAATTTAATTTTATCATTTTTTTAAATTTGTTTTTGACCTTTCTGATAGCCAGAAAGAGTAGGGTACCTTGACCATGTACATGACTATGTAGTTCTCTAATTTTAACTGTATTTTTAAAAATCCGCTGTGAAAACTCAGGTAGTATATTATATTCTAAAGTAAATCAGTGCTTTTGAAACAGAAGATTGACAAATAAAAACAAATAATAGCAACCATGTTCTAAGCAACAGAAACATCATTTAACTAGTTCCTTAATTGAGCCAAAGTACTTGTTATTTCCATCATTTATAATTATCCCTTAAATCCCTCTTTTCTCCAGTTTTACCAATTAACTTCATGATTTGTGCTTTATACAACCAAGTCTTTTGCTCTAGTTTATAGTTAAGTCCTTAGTTTTATACACATAAGCAATGACATGCTCTAATTCGTCACATAAAGATGCGTAATGGAACTCAAAACTAATATGAAGGCATTTCTTTTAAAATCTGGGATATAATGTTTATGACAGTTAAAGATAAACCATGTTTTGAATTTTACATTAAATAGCAATAGGGCAAGAAGAGGTTCAATAAAATCATTCGTTTCTCTTTCTCCCTGTGCCAATTTGGAACTCTAGACCTCAGTAAATATTTATGGGCAGTGTGAAGTATATTTTGCATATGATCTGAAAAAAATGGCAGAAATAATAAATAAAACTGCTTTATGAGTATATAGTGAACTTGTATTCAGTGGTTTGTAAGCTACACCCTCATTTGCAGATTCAGTAATAATTAATGTTAAAGAAAATGAACTTAACGCCTTAGTACCTCCTGAGTACTTGACTCTTTACTAGATATTTTTGTTTGTTATCATTTATCCTCATAATGGCTCTCCATAGTTATCTGCATTTACATGGAGGAAACGTGGCTCTCAGGAGTTGGGTAACACCTGTAAAATAACATCTCAGCCTGGCTGGCCGGCAGCCCTAGGCACTGCCTCTGCCTGGGGCCTCTATCGCTGCCGCTCCGGAGCTCCTGATCTTCGCAGTGGCGTCCTTACCCCTTTTCCTGTCTCTCTTCCACACTAGACCAGAGCAGTTTCTCTCAAAGCAAATCCGATCCCATCTTCCGTGATGTAAAGCTGTGATTCACCAGTGTGTAGAAGCTCAAGTCCCGGTGTTGAGTGCTGTCGACAAGACCCTTCACAGTCGGCCTCCAGTCAGGCCACCGCCATTACCTCTTGTCATTGTCATTCGCGGCCTCCCCTAAGCCTTGCCACTCTACACTGCCGTCCTTCCCATTTTCGTTTCCTGGGGTGCCCTTGTGTGGGCTGTGCTGCTGTCTCTCCTCTGGTGCCTTTTCCCCTTCCTCTGGAGATTGCCTTCCTTCCAGCTCCAGCTCTGTCTTCCTAGACCCCTCCTGCCACCCAGGGGGTTCTGATTTCCACAGCACTCACTGGCAGTCCGCGGTGTCACATTTCACTCAGAAGTTTGATGTTAAAATCAGCATATTGGGCATATGCTTTTGAAAAAGTAGCTTAGCCCTGGCTGGGTGGCTCAGTTGTTTGAAGTGTCACCCTATATACCAGAAGGTTGGTGGTTTGGTTCCTGGTCAGAGCACATACCTAAGTTGCAGGTTCAAGCCCTGGTCATGGGTGTATGGGAGGTAACTGGTTGATGTTTCTCCCTCTCCCTCTCCCTCTCCCTCTCCCTCTCCCTCTCCCTCTCCCTCTCCCTCTCCCTCTCCTCCTTTCTCTCCCTCCCCCCTCCCTCTCTCCCCCTCCCCCCTCCCTTGCTCCCTTCCTCTCTAAAATTGCTAAACATATCCTTGGGTGAGGATTATAGCTTAAAATCAACCATAAAGCAGAATATGTGTGGCCTTATGGAGATAATACAGTAATTCTTATGCCCACTAAAATTTGAGGACCTGTGAATTAATTAATCTGCCCTTGAAACTGTCATCTCCCTACCAACTTATCACATGTGGCATAGGTGGAGAATTCTAAAGTGTTTCTCCTCGCCTGCATTGTTTAGTCTATTTCTGTAAATAATCTTCTCTGATTTAAACATATAACACGAGTGCTTTAGGTTGACTGTAACTCTACTGGGTTGTTCTCCGTTCTCATGGGGGAAATATATATAATAATGAAAAAAATGGTGATATGTAGGGAAGGGGAACAGACTTTTAAAATGAGGGCATAGGTGCACTGTTGTTAAAGTGTTTATCGCACAACATTGCCATTATTTGTTCATCTGGCTGTTGTTTCTAGAATGTGGGTATTTTTAGAGCTCACATGGTTCTTTTTATGGGACAGAGTCTTCTCCCTAACACAGTGCTTGCTTAGTAAATATTTATTTGGTCAATAAATGCAAGATTGTTAAGTGTTTTCTCAACTCTCAAAGAAATATTAATATTTAGGATAGTTTTAGGATAGAATAATTTTTACTATTAGTATATATTTGAAATTTATTAATCTTGTAGAATGACTTTTTATTTTCTTTGTACGATTCTGTTTTCCAGAATCTCTACAGTAATTATGCATTGTTTTTAGAGTCAGGAAAACATTAGATGCTATTTAAATTAGTGTGTTGAAACTAAAATTTTTAGAACAGAATTTTTACAACCAGTAGAGGGAACTAACCAGATCATTCCATTCCTTAACCATGCTGGTGCTCACATTTTATTTTCATGATAAAAACAATGTTTATAAATGTAAATTTAAAATTCTTTTTGTCTGTTTATTCAAATATGCCACCCTGGAAGATCTTAAGAGAAGAACTTAAGAGGGATCCTAAAACAGATGCAGTGAATAACTTACTGTTGCTAGAAATAACTGCCTGATGTGTTAAATACTTTTAAATCTAAGATGTAGCTCTGGCAGGTGTGGTTCAGTGGGTTGTCATCCTGCAGTCAGAAAGATCACCAGTTTGATTCCCAGTCAGGGCACTTACCTGGGGTGTGGGACAGGTCCCCTGCTGGGGGCGTGCGAGATGCCACCAGTTGACATATCTCTCGCACATTCATGTTTCTCTCCCGCTTTTTCTTCTTCCCTTCCCCACTCTCTGAAAATAAATAAAATCTTCTAAGATCTAAACCATCTAGTTTATACTATTTAAACATATTATGAAGTGTATTTATTATGGCTTTGTGTTACAACTTCTATGTTTATCACTATGAAAGAGTCTTTAATGAACCAGTAAAGTGCATATCATCTGTGTATTAGATATTTCCACGTACTTGAAGGAGACCTCCTTATTACTGAATACATAACAAAGGGATTTTTTTTTTTTGCTTGATACTCAGGAGAAAAAGAAAATGAAATATTAAAATTTTATCTGAACAGAGTAGAATAGGCTGTAAACTGTATATCGAGTTTCATAACCTTATTTTTATGCTCAAGTAGCAATTCCAAGAATATGTAAACACGGAATGTGGTATATTTCACTTCTCCTACTTTATGTTTCCTATTTAAGAGTTAGCTCTTAAATAAAACTTTATTTTAAATGGCTGCCTTCCCAAAATCTGTAACCCACTTGGGCACTGGCCCTTCATCATGGTTTTTCACGGCACTTTTACCTCCCAATAGGTGTCCATCCTGAGGCCTGTGGGCCTCATATGGTCCAACACAAAATTGTAAATTTACTTAAACATCATGAGATTTTTTTTGTGATTACATGTCACAATGTATTTATTATGTGGCCCAAGACAATTCTTCTTCCAGTGTGGCCCAGAGACACCAAAAGGTTGGACACCTCTAATACATGGTATAATTTACTTATTCATAACGTTTACTGACTCCTCCCTCTGCAAAAATGTAAGCTCTGTGAGGCAGACATTTGGTTTGTTTTTCTAGTGTTTTATCTCTAGCACTAGAACAGAGCCTAGCATGTATTTTGCTTTCAATAAATGTAGCTGTGGAATGAGTACATAGTTAAAACCAGACTATCTAGACCCGTATTGATTTAGGTTCTATGTCAAATGGAATATGTGGAACCAGTCACTTTTTTCAGTCTCTGATTTCAATTCTCCTGGATGTAGGTGCATTCTAGAATATTTTAAAGGTACCAGTTGGCAAAACGTATTTAATTCTAATTTTGAGCACTTGTGCGTATATGTGTCATATGTATAAACATACCTATATCCATATAACACATCATTAGAGCAGTTACTCCTCATCATAACCTATTGGGTATAAACGGATGAAATAAAAATTGGAATTATGAATGAATGATTAAACTTAGTGTCAGTGAACTCAAGGGTTTTTATCTTTTTTTTGAGCTGGTGAAATATTTCTTCTTTCCACAGATCTTAAATCTGACTCAGGCTTTGAGAGACGGGAAGAGCCCTGTCCAGCTGGTCCAGATGCCTTGTGTGATTGTGGAACACAGTCCAGGGAGAGGCCAGGGCCGGGTCGTCCACCTCAGCAGTTCCTTCACCCAGACTTTCCACTGCAGGAAGCCATTTTTTTCCTCCTGGTAGCAGATGTAGGAGAAACAAACTGGCGTTCTTCTGCTGTTAAAATGTAAAATGTATTTACATTACATTACAGTAATGTAAATCTGCTCTTAAGTGCTTCAGTTGCCAAAACCTCACATAATGCGTGTTTTAAAGGTTATGTTTTGAATGTACTCGGAAGTTTACAGTTTTTTTGTCCAAATAATAACTTTTTATTTCAGGGAAGAACTGATATATCTCCTATATTGTATTTTTGTAGAAAAATTGTACTTTATGTTGATGGTGTTAGTTGAAAGGTAATTTCATGGTTTACACATTCTGAAATGACTGTAATTATTTTAGAATTTCAGATAGGAAAATAAGATTTGTCGACTGAATAAAGTAACTTTTGATATACTTTTTAAATATTGAGAAGAATGTTTGTTAATTCTTCTTACATTATAAAAGGCCTTTGAATATGAAACCGCTCTTATGAACTTAATAGGTTAGTTAGTAGAAAAATAAATAAGAATAAAGCAATGTTGCCTTAATTTAAAAAGCTGCTATTTTAGAACTTGAATATTCCCAAAGTGACCATTGTGAGGGACCAGAAAATTATATCTTGTTTAAGTAATTGATGAGCATTTCTTTTTGTACTTCAGAATATTTTTGCTCAATTATTTTGTTATAATGAGAAAAAAAAATAAAGATATCCTTTTTTAAAAAAAATGAAAACACTCAACTGAGACTTGAGAATTATATAAAATTAAGGTAGATCTGTAATATTTTTGAAATTCCAAAATAGCATTAAAAATTCCTTTTTGTTCCTTGCATAGAATCAATTACATAATAACTACTCCAGACCACTAATCTTGTTCAGTCTAGTACTTCAGTTAGTATTATAAACATCACTGAAAAGTAAACCATATCTCAAGGTGCATATTGGATTATATTTTGGGGTCCAAGGATATAAACTCTTAATAGTAACAGGAGTATTATCAGTTACTTGAAATTCCCAATGTTATAATTAGTCAAATTTAGAACATCAGCCCTAATTACAGTGGACCATGACAGAGATAACCATAAAAACATTTATGTTTGATTTTGAATGTCAGTATGTCTGACATTCTGGGAACTTGTACCACTTTTAATTCATTCATTAAGTGATTTTAAATTATGATGAACCCAGTGTGAAGATGTGATTCTAAAGAAGCAGAAGTTTCATTCTCTCCTTCAGGCTCTGAACAAACACCACCACCACTCGTGCTGAACTGGGCAGTTTGTAGTTTTTGGCCTTTTGCTTTTTGAGCTTTCTGTCCTGTGATTTTTTTTTTTAATTAAGTACTTGTGCATCAAAAGTATTTCCTGAAGGTTTAGTTAGGGTGCAAGGCAGGTGTGCGGACCTCCCTCTCTCCACTCCTTTCTCTTGACCTTGACGGATGTGATGAGTGAGAATACTGCTCTCCACGCAGACGTGTTCTCCTACCTCCCCCGACCCTTCATCACCTTAGTGATGAGGTGATGGAAAACTGGAAGCTTAAAGCGCAAGCTACTACCTTTAGATAAATACCAGGAATTGAACTGTGCCTTTGAAGATGAGTTCTAAAAGAACTAAGTTGTTATGTGGGTACTGCTTTCATAAAACAGGTTTTTGGGGTTTTATGCAGTATTTTGAGAATTGCTATATTAATTTTTATAATGAAAATCTTAGTAAGTTACTACTGTTTTATATCTTAAAATTAAAGTAGTGTGGAAATATTTTTTAATGGCCTGACCAGGCCAGAAAAACTAAGTTGAAATATTTAAGATGTGATTATAAGTCAGAGTACATTGGTTATATTTTGTAAATTTTTATGAACTTAATTCTTATTTAAGTATTGTGCTAACTTTTTTCAGTGAATGTATTTATAGTGTCAAATGGTAGACTAAAAGTAGTAAAAATTGTTGTCTTAAGGCTAGATTTCTCCTTAAGTATGTATATTGAATATATAGGTTTATAAATATGTTTATGTTTATAAATATGTCAAACCGCCATTTTCTTACTTCATATCTTAGTAGTACAGTTTAATTCTTTATAATTCCAAAAGATATATCTAACTGGAACCTTTATAATTGGGGACATTTTAATTTTATTTAATTATATGCTGCCTTATTCTCCCTGGCATTTGTCAGCAATTGAAGACTCTGGAAACATGATGTTTTGCAGACTTGAAAACAATTTGATTCATAATTTTTAATAAATTTAAAATACTATACTAATGGAATTAAAACTTTATTTTAAAATGACGGTGACATGTTCTTTGACCAGATTACATACATCTTGAGTCCTTTACATACATATGAAGAGACAGGCAGCATCTTATGTTTTATAGTCTGCCTTCTTTGCCGAAGTTGCTTGGGCACCTGCACAAAGTTGTGGCAAAGATTCTCAGTTTGTTCTGTGTTTTCAAGCCTCCTTTACAGTTAGTTTGGGGCCCGTGACAGTTCTAGCCAGTGAGATGTGGGGACAAGTGATATATGTGACTTCCAGACCTGGCAGTAAAAGTCAGTGCCATCACAATCCGTGATTGTGTCTGAACACACTCTCCTGTCTTCCTGCTTTGCTATAAGTAGTTTGCAGACTGGAAGCATCCAGGGTCTATGAGTCATTGCTTGGAAAGGAGATCCTGCTGACATCATTAGACTATTACATGAACAAGAAATAAATGTGTTTAATCATGAAAATGTTGAATCTTGGGCATTATAATGTAAATAGAAAAAAACATCATTTTAAAATAAAAAAATTAATTATAGAAGGCAGGATGGCAGCAGCAGTGGGGAGTGTTTTAATCTCCCAAATCCCCTTGGAGCTATCCTATAGCAAAAGAAAAACACAGTGACATCATCCTCACTAAAATTAGGCGACGGGCTATCCCTGTGAATCCCAGAATCTGAGTGGCATGAACTAAAACCATCGATAGCTACAAGATCACATGGGAACAACAGCTTGGAGGAGCAAGCAGAGAGAAAGTAAGGGGGAATTTGCGATGTTTCTAAGAGGCCAAGAACACAGAATTTGCCAACATGCACTCAGCCCAAAGGAGGAGTCCACAGTAGAGGCATCCTTAGCCAGTGGATCCAAAAAACAGTTGGGAGAGGTCTTTCTGGCTATTAATTATCAGCTAGTTAAAAGGAGCCTGCAGAAAGGTATGAGAGCACTAGGGCAACCAGGTCTTTGGGATTCTCAGAAGTAGCCAATAAGAGCACACAGCCCCGCACAGGATGAAACTACTGGGTACATAGAACACACGTGGACAAGGGAAGGCCACTGGAGGGTAAAGGAGAGAAGGTTCTGACACTGAACAGGGAGCCAGTGAGAACAGAAGTCAGAAGTACCAAAGAGGAACACAGAAAACTGTTGTTTAATACTATTTAGTAACACAGAAGAGAACCCTAGGACCACAGAACTTGGGGAAACTGTCCTGGCTCACCTCACCTGGAGGAACACAGGAATCTTTGAAAAATACAGGAAGAAAAATAATTTTAAAAAGCCCACATCATGTAAACATGGCCACATCTAACAATATGCTCTAAAAAAGGCAGGATAACCCATCTAACATGCCCACAGAGAATGAAGATATCCCAGAAACATTTACAGAGCAGGGAAAAAATATCTTTTAAATGCTCAAGGAATTTAAGAAATGATAGAACCTAGGAACAATATAGTATTGAAGTCAGCAAAGTTCAGAAATGAGATGGGCAAGCAGTGGGGAGGAATAAAATGAGCTCACAGGAAATTGTAGAGTTAAAAATATGTTTCAGAAATAAAGTAACACAAGAACAGAGAGACAACATATCCACAAAAACCCCATAGGAAACATTGTAGTGTTGGAATCTAAAGCTTTCTGTAGTAGTTTTCTGTTGCTGCTGTAATAAGTTACCACAAACTTGAATGGCTTGAACAATACAAATTGATTATCTTAACAGTTCTGCAGGTTAGAAGTCTGATAGAGTTCACTTGGTCCAAACCAGAGTGTCCGTGGGGTTGCGTCCCTTTCTGGAGTCTCTAGGGGAGGATGCTTCCTTGCCCTTTACGGTTTCTAGAGGCCTCACTCATTCCTTGGCTTGTAGCCCCCTCCCTCCATCTTCAAAGCCAGCTATAATGAGTTTGGTTGAATCCTTTCCTCATCAATTCGCTCTTGACACCAACTTTTCTGCCTCTCACTTCCACTTTTTTTAAATATTTTTTTTATTTTTCAATTACAGTTGACCTACAGTATTATATTAGTTGCAAGTATACCACCCAGTGATTAGACATTTGTATGACTTACAAAGTGATTGCTCCCATAAATCTAATACCCATCTGACACCATCTGTAGTTAATATTATTGACTATATTGCCTATACTGTACTGTACATCCCCGTGACTCTTCTGGGAGTACCAACTTGTACTTCTGAATCCCTTCACCTTTTCCCTCTTCCACTTGTAGGGACCCCAGGGATTATATTGGGCTGCTCCAGGGAATCTAGGATAATCTAGATTAAGGCCTTGCTGGTCTGCAACCTTAATTCCATCTGCACCTTGAATTCCCCTTTGCCATGTAATATACCCCTAAATTCTGGCCATCAGGACATGGCCATCTTTGGGAGCCATCCTTCTGCCTTCCACACGCTCCCTCTAAGATCAGCTCCCTGCCAAGGTGCCTGTCTTCATCGGTCTTGCTCAGTAGTGCACTGGAGAGTCCAGCCAACACAGTAAAGCAGGAAGGAGGGAAAGGTATAACAGTCAGAAACTAATAAAACTGTCCTTATTGATAGATGGCAATTACCATTTAGAAGATTCGAAAGAACCTATCAATGACTATTAGTAAGTGAATTTCGTAAGGTTTTTGTACCAAAAACACTAGTTAGAAAATTTTAAAAGGTACCATTTATAGCAGTAGCAAAACATCAGATTCCCAGGAATCAGTCCAACCGAAGATGTGCAAGACCCCTACAGCAAACTAAAATAATTGAGAAAACCCTGCAACACATAAGACGAGATACCCATGTTTGTTAAAATCCGAGGGGCAGGTAGTTGAATGTTCTTTATCTTGTCTGTTATTTTCCATGTTTCAATCACTTCATTAAAAGAATAAGCCTTTATATGGGGGCATGTTTACATGCATGTTTGGTTTGCCACCTTCATTAGTTTGCCAGGGCTGCCGTAACACAATACCACAGACCAAGTGGCTTAAACAACAGAAATGGAGTTTCTCACAGTCTGGAGGCTGGGAGTCCAAGACCAAAGTGCCAGCAGGGTTGGTTTGACCTGCCTCCTTGGTCCAGAAAGCCACCTTCTCATCATGTCCTCGTGTGGCCTTTTCTTTATGCGCTCACAGCCCTGGGGTCCCTTCTTATGAGGACACCAGCCCTATAGGATTAGGATCCACCCATAGGACCTCATTTAACCTTAATTACCTTTTTTAAAGACCCTACTTCCAAATACAGTCACATTGGAGGTAAGGCCTTCAACGTGAATTTTGCAGAGAACACTTTTCAGTCCATAACACCACTCAAAGTAAAAAACGTAAGCGCCTACGTATGCATTGGTCTGTCAAAAATGGCCAAGGTCAGCCTCCAGCTTAGTCATGACTGCAGTCCCAGCCACCTTCTGAGCCATGTCCCTATGGAAGACTGAGATAATAGGAACGTCCACCTGTAAGTACCTTCTGAGATGAAGTCTGAGAGTTGTTCTTCTTCACGTGCAGGAACTTTTCAACCAGGATTTGTAATAAGTATTTTGACTGCGGAGATAAATGTTTTGCTTACTGCTGGGCTCTTGGTTCTGCCCTACATAACTGTGAACCAGAACCTCTCATTTCTCAGTCATGGCAGATACATGAATTTTGCTTTAGCTGTGTTTCATTTCCTTTATAAAACCCCAACTCCTGATAGATAGGATAGATATAAATCACTCATTGCATTCCAGACATTTCTGAAGTGCTCAGTGCATGCCAGATTCTCCAAAAGGTAGTAGGAATACAAAAATCAGCAAGATACAATTTCAGCTCCTGGATTTACTCTTTAAAGGCTGCTCATAAAGAGAAGGAAGACCTGAAAGTGGTGATAGATCTAAAATCAAATATTTTCTCAGGAATAATGTCCTCCATCATCTTTGACTACGTGTCCTACCCCAGCACATTTCTACCCTCGCCTCTCAGATTGTCAGCTCCTTGCACACAATGGAGGAACAGTAAATGCTTTGTAAACTGAATGCCTGACTGCCTTTGACTTGAGCTCTCAACATTTTTCACATTGATTATAGAAGTATATTTCCAATGTCTGCATTTGTCTTGGACTGTGGAGGGTATGACTCATTCACCCTCTTGTCCCATGGATCAAAAAGTTTTAGTATACGACAAATATGCATTTATTTAAGCAAATTGCATTATTAATCAGCACCATTTTATTCAGTAAGTCTTAGCCTGCTTCAGAATCCATGTAGAGTTCTTTGAGAAAAAGAAATCCTTAAATCTTTAAAGTTTTTAGTCTACCAGCAAGTAATGCAATAGATTTAACTTTTGTCACTTCAAAGTACTATGAAGTTACTTATGTTCTAACATTGCTATTTTCAATAAATGGAAGGTATGCCACGATCCTCTTTTACTAAGAGTTTAAGGTTGGACTAGACCTGCATTTAAGTCCTGCTTCTGCTGCTTATTAGCGCCGTGTCCTTGGTCAGATCTTGCAATCTCCCAGACCAGCTTTCTCTCCGCATGTAAAATACATGAGCTAATGGTAAGTTCAGAGATTTGTAGCAAGGACGAAATAAGGTATACTTTGTGAAGAGCGCGGTACAAATTCTGTTAGTTATAGATTCTGTTTCCATCCGAGAAGCTGTCTCTGGGTGTAAATGGTTCGTTTGGGTGTTTGGTTTTAGATGATGAAATAAGGCGTACATCTGTGATCCTGGGCTTGGAGCATTGCATAAAGGGTATCTGTGCACACGCCAATTTCTCGATTTCATATCGCCTTTCCTGGAGCGTGGTGACAGATTTGCAGTCAAAAGGCTGTTTTAAAGTGTTCTGCATGTGACACGGGTTGAGAAGAAAAGGCACCTAAGGGTCACCAGGTAATAGTAAGAGATTTATCCAAACCTGACTCCCTGAGAAACTAAGTGACATTTCAAAAGGTTTTTTGTTCAGAATCCTGACACCCGGGTCCAGCCCATGAAATTCGAACCTGGCAGATGGTGACTCTGCATGTCGTCTGGTGGGTTTTTTTCAGACCTGGAAATTGAAAGCATGTGATACCAAAAACACGCAGCCAAGGTACCTCTGTTAAGCAAAGAGATGTGTTTATTTTTCCTTTGACTCCAGGAACCCTGGCTGCTCCTCAGCTCTGGTTACACTATTCCCATCTGGCAGTCCACAGTTTGGAAACCTCTGAAGCCGAGCAAAACAGTAGAAAAATCAGGTAGCCTCCCCTTTCCCGAGTCAGAAAGTTCTATAAACATCTCTGGGCTGGTCCCTGGCTGCTGCTGGAACTGGTTTAACCAGATTCAGTGACACTTAGACCTGACCTCCTGTCAGGGTGAATGAAACTGCCTTTTATCTCAGCTGTGGTTTTGGGAACAATCCAGGAATCTATTCTACCCTTCAAGTGTTTGTTCTAAATGGCAGGACTTAGGGGTAATCAGGAACTGCATTTAAACCAAGGTACTGTTTCAAACCGAGGTCGCCAGTGACCTGGCAGAGTTGCTAAGCAATGTAACATCTAGCTTCACTCGCTCTCCATGCGATCAGTTAGTGTTTGGAAATGCTAGTCTGAATCTCTAGTTAAAATGCTGCTCACTTACTGGACAGCATCCACCCTAACGTGCCTTAACGGAAAATAGTATTACCGTCCAGTTTTGAAAGTCCGTCGTTCAGAGAGGTCAAGCTGTCGCTGATGCAGGACTTGGCATAATCTATAGAGGAACGCTGTAGAAAAAGCTCTGGACTCTGAAGGAAGAGATGGAGGAGGGGTAGCAGAATATGCCACTTCCAAATGTGCCCCTTTGGCCGAAGGATTATTTCAAGCCAAAGGCAATTAAGAAGCAGACGCAAGAAAAGCTTTCTGCCTAAAAGCCAGACATGATTTGTAAAGATGTCTGCCCTCTCCCCTCTCGACCAGGAAGGACATAAGTTAATTAGTGAAGACAGTTCTAGACCCTTATTAGTCCAAAAAGGCACCAGAGGCATCTACGCAACAGTTTGCTAAAACCAACCTTCGTCTACCCTTAGTTTCCCCACGTATTAGCCTTTCCACTATTTGCCACTCCTAGAGCACAAAGCCCTTCTCCTCTGTCTGATCATCTCTCTAAAAATTTATGGTTTCTTTTTCATTAAGATGCTGTATAAGGCCAAATTCTAATCATTCCTTTGAGTTAGTCATCTCTAAGCGTTCCATGTGTATTTGATGCACAGTTAATTAACTTCTGTTCTTCTCTCTTTTTAATCTCTTTCTTGTTAGTCTAATTTAAAAGGCCTCAGCACAAGAGCCCCTGGGTGGGCAGAGGAAGAAGATGAAGGGGAGGAAAACAGGATGATTGACAAGAACTGGGGCAGGGAGAGTAGAGACAAAGGTTAGTTGGTCTTCCCTGGGAAAAAGTTTCAAAACATATTAATAGACATCCATCCATCCAACATTATGGCTGTAACTTTAGAACATTAGTCGCCATTCTTAGTTGTGACTGGATAGAACAAACACCGTCCCAAACTGGCTTAAGAAGATAAAGGAATTTGTCACTCTTACAACTGAAAACAGGAGGCATGGCTGGATCTAAGTGGTCACATGGTATCATCACACATTCCTACCTCCTAGTTCTGGGTTCTTCTTACTGACTTCTTGCTAGGGCAGGAGCTCCTTAAGTTTTTGGAAACACTGACACCAGTCACTTGGTTACCCCAGACAAGAATGCTTCTGTGATAGATTGTGTCATTGGCTCCAATTCTTCAGCCCTTTCTGACCCATCCCTTTGCCATGTAGCTTTGCAGTGCTTGGCCATGTGACTCGTTCAAGCCAAAAGAAGGAGGTAGAAGTGACAGTGGCAGTTCCAAGCTGAGGCCACCAGAAGTTTGTCTGTTTCTCTGAGCTCTCTTGTGCTTCTGCCACCTCTAGGAGAATGACATGCCCAGGCTGGCCCCCTGGTTCCAGGAGTGTCTTAGTCTTCAGGGTTGCTGTAACAAAATAACACAGGCTGGGTAGCTCTAACACAACAGAAATTTATTGCTCACAGTTCCAGAAGCTGGAAGTTCAAGATCAGGGTGCCAGCAAGGTTGAGTGAGGCTCTCTCTGGGTCACAGACTTCTCCTTGTATCCTGACATAGCAGAAGGGAGTAGGGAGCTTTCTGGAGCCTCATAAAAGGGCACTAACCCTATCCATGAGGGCTTCGCCCTCATGACCTAATTGCCTCTCAAAGGCTCTACATACTAATACTATCACCTTTGGGGGTTAGGGATTTCAACATATGAATTTGAGGGGGACACAAAAATTCAGTCCATCCAAGGAGGATGAGAGACACAAGGAACAGAGTTGAGTATTCCCAGCCCAGATGAACCTGGCCCGGCCAACCATTAGATGCACAACCTAGCTCAGAAAAAGCCGAAGAGCCGAACCCCTCAGACACATGATAAATCAGTATTATGGATGCCACTGAGATGACAAAATCTAATTGTTACAGCTTTCTCAGCCATCCCCCAAGTCACCTGCCCAAGCCCAAGCCAGTCCTTGGGGCACTTTGTGCCTTTCCAACAAAAAGGGCTAAAACTGGCGAGGGTTGGCTTCACAAAGAAACACTGGGTTCTCTAGCAAAAGATAGAGAAGTCGGTCAGGCATCCACTAGAAAATGTCTCTCTGACTTCAACCACTTTCCCTGTGATTTGGGGCTAGGAGGACTTTTATCCTATTAACAAACTCAAGGAGCGAGACATCCTGGTGCCTTGCCCACATCATCTGGTGGGGCAGTAGCTGCAGCAGAGCCTGTTTTAGGGGCAACCAGGACCATCACAGGGGAGTGTAGCAGGGCTCTCTCTCAGCGCTCACACCTCAAGGGGCCCATTTTTGGCTCTGCCTCTGGTTTCCCTTGAGACTCCTCTACGTCTCTTAGCTTTTGTCTGCTCAAGGATTTTCCTGTGCAAACTAAAAATATTACACAACAAAATGAAACATTCATAACGTATTGCTCATATTCATGACTTTTTCAGTAAACATTTAACAAACGCTATGTATACATGTCTAAATATAGGTGAGATTTTTTTTTTTTTGTCCTCAAATTATCCCTCAGAAAAGAGAGAACTACCTTATTTTTGAAACCTTTCAAGTCTCTCCCACTAAGAGGTGCTCTTTCATTTTCCTTATTTGGACAACCTTTGTTGGACTTTTACTGTAAAAGCTGCAAGTCCATATTGGTTTGGGCTGCTTACAGAGCTCACCTCACAGCATCGGAATTATTTAAGAGGAAATGAGAAAATATAGACTCGGTAACTATTTTTGGTGGTATAATTTTATGAATTCAATTGCAAGCTTTGAAAACAAGCCTTTTAAAGATTACAGATCTGTACCTATGAGTTAAAATTTTTAAATAGAAGTATTAATGTCAACGACCAAGGGTAGTTTGGTCTTGAGATAAAATTTTCAAAAATGTTGTTAGAAAGTTCCCCATCCTAAAGGTACAGTCATGCCAGTAACTTCTGTTGGACAACTTGAAGAGGGGGATTGTTATGCCAAAGACCAGGTGTTACAGATACAGGTGAAGGATTTGAGTGAAATCATTGCATGAAATGTGCTTGGAAAAGAGCACTATTTCTAAATTAACATACCATAGTAGAAAGTGTATGAATTTAAATATGCACCCGTACCATCAATTCTTTAAATACTATAAGGAGGTTTATTTCATCTCCAACTATACGTGTGTATTTACTGTAGCTATGTAAGTCTTAAATTTGGATAGGTTAATTCCTCCCACTTTATTATTATTTTTCAACACTGTTTTAGCTATTTTAGTTCCCTTGCCTTTTCACATAAATTTCAGAATAATATGCTACAAAAATCTGAGATTTTGTTAGAAATGGATCTAAACCTGTATCTCCCCTAAGTTTGGGGGGAACGGACATCTTTGCTATGTTGAATTTTCTAACCCACCAAACACACTATGCCTCTACATTTATTTAGAACATCTTTGATTTTTTTCATCAGTTTTTTGTAGTTTTCAGCATATAAGTCCTGTGTACATGTTTTGTTAGATTTATGTAAAACCCAAGTATTTCATTTCTTTGAGTGGTGGTTAAGTGGTATACTAGTTTTAATTTTGTGCTCCTGTGATCTTTGCTAGTATATAGAAGTACAATAGATTTTTGTATGTTTATCTGGTATCTTGCAACCTTCTTGAACTCAGTTTAATCTAGAGGTATTTTTGTAGGTTTCTTGGGATTTTTTTTATGTGGACAATCATGTCAGATGCAAATAGGGACGGTTTTGTTTCTTTGCAATATATAAATGTCCGTGGATATGCAACTATAACGTGCAACTATAAACACTGTTCAAAAGGTCTAAGACGACACTGTGCCAACAACTTTGAAAGGACGATGGTTTCATGAAGCGCAGAGGCATCAGCTATTTCTATTGTCAACGGCTGTCTGTGGTGATAGTGCCTTTTGGACTTAAACCCGATCAAATCTCTGCTCCAAAGAGTCATTTCATCTCCTGCATGTATTCTTATAAAAAAAAAAAAGGGTACTCAAAGGTGCTAAGGAGTGCGGCAGAAAATAGGTGAGCTTATTGCACAGGTCCAACAAGTTACCTGCAAGGCGTACCCTCCTATGCCAAAGCACTGCTTAGGGCAGGCCAGGGCTGGCGGCAACTGCGTTTCAGGGAGCGGCCTCACTCCGGCAGCCGCAGCTCCTCCCAGGCGCGCGGGGGCGCTGTGAATCTCTGCGGGTCGTGGCGGCGCTCTTTTTCTGCCTCATTTTTTTTTTTTTTTTTGGTTGGACTGAGGCTTTCGGGACGGCGGCGGGAACATGGCGACCCTCAGGGATCGGCTTGGGGCCGTGGAGGCAGAGGGCAGCGCAAACAGGCGGGGGAGCGCGGGAGTGGAGGTGGTGCTTCTCTCCGATCCCGCCACCCCCGCCCCGCTGTGCCCTCACGGTGGGTCCTTGTTTGGGCTCAGCCTGGCTGTCGGGCGCCCAGGGGCGAGGGCTACCCTGAGTTTCCATGGGCTTTTAGGGCTCTCAAATTTGTATCAGCCACTTTCCCCCACCGCGTGTGATGCCTAGAAAACGCTCCTTTCTCGGGAAGTTGTGGTTTTCAACTTACCTAATGAGATACGTCATAGAAAGCCCCACTGTAGGATTTTGGTCCCACGGCCAAAGGTAGAGGCTAGGCAAAGGGGATGCGTGTTACCGAGTAATTCCCTTTGCTGAATACTGGGGGATTTCATTTGTTGATTTGCTATCTTTTCAGTTAAAAACAAAAACAAGAAAGTTAGGGAGAACGATGGCTTGAGTTCTTGCTTAAAAAGGAGACCTGATTTTTCTCTTAAGTTGTGGACAGAGGATGTGTCCAGCTCTAAAAGCTCAAGATAACTGAGTGGACCGGACCGAGGTGACAAAGTGCTCCGTTTTCCCGACACCCTCGTTTTAGTCTCAGGATCCAGGTCATTCACCATGTGGACAGCAGTTATTACTAACAATAGCATTTTATTTCTGGAGAGACCAGAAAATTATTTCCTAATTGTTTAGTGGATTTAATGATGGCAAATTGTGCATAAAGTTAAAACAAGTGTTATTGTAGGGCGGTAAAACTAGGACCTTGATGTAGATGATTGTTGTTTGACATGGTTTTTTCCCCCTCCGGAACTAGGACCCACTCTTTTGTTTGTGAAGGTGAGCCAGGGGAAAGAAGAAACACGGAGGTTTTATGCCTGCTCGGCCTGTAGAGATAGAAAAGATTGTGATTTTTTTCAATGGGAAGATGAAAAGGTATATTTACTTTTTGGATATTTATATATTTTTTATTTTTGATGTATGTGGCTTTTTTGAGACTGCATGAGATAAATCTTTTAAGACATGAAGACACGGTTTTTTGTTAGATGGAGTTGGTATTCTGAACTTACTTTGATTACTGGTGTCTTAAAGTACTGTCTCCAACAGTTCCCATTAAGAACTTCTGAGGTGTCAATATTAGGTTTGCCAATATAGACAAATTTCTCCCTAAAGAGTCTAGGTCATGATCGTTCCGAAAGTGTTTTAGAAAAACCTGTTTTTTTGAACATTTGTGTTGACTATCTTTTATACAGGTACTGGGCATTTACAGAAATAGTTATGAACTGGGGATCCTCTTGGACTCAGTCTAATTATAGTTTCTGAAACTTTTGACTGGAATATTTTCAGCTTTGTTAGGTTTATTAGAAAACAGTCTTGTATATTACTCTTCTGTACACCTGTTAAGATCACCACATGTGAGTTCATCTCCATGTTTTACTCTTCAGTATGTTGGGTACTGCTTCAAATATTCTAGGCTTTTTCCAGATTAATGTTTTGGGTGTGTCCCCCCCCGAAATGAGTGCTTGTCTACAACTTTAAGCTGCCTGAATTTCTGGCTTCTTTCTTGATGTCAGAATGTGGTACCAGTTTCTCTCGCGTGGTAGCAAGTTTGGTAGAATATTAAGTGCATTTCATACTCTCAGTTGTCAGGAGCTAGACTTGCTGCCCGAGAAGCTCATAACCGAAGATGTCAGCCTCCTCTATCCCGAACACAGTGTGTGGAAAGGTACTGATGTGGTCATTCTTATTCATTATCCTGTATTTTTTAACCTGTGCCTCTAAGTTTACTTTAATTAATGTATGTTTATTGTGGTAAATATATACATAACATAAAATTTGCCAATTCAGTAGCAGTAGTTCCCAGTGTTGTGCAACCATCACCACTATTTCCAAAACTTTTTCATCACCCCCAACAGAAACTGTCACCATTAAGCCATAACTCCCATTCCCCTTCCTCCCAGCCCGTGGTAACCTCTAGTCTACTTTTGTCTCCATGAATTTGACTATTCTAGGTACCTCAGATGAGTGGGATCAGCAGTATTTGTCTTTTTATGTATGGCTTATTTCATGCAGCATAATCTTTTCAAGGCTTATCCATGTTAGAATTTCATCCCTTTTATAGCTGAATAATGTTCCATTGCATGTGTATCCTACATTTTGTTTATTCATCCACCAGTGGACACATGGGTGTTTCCATGTTTTGGCTTTTGTGAATAGTGCCACAGTACATGTCGGTGTATAAATATCTTTTGGAGTCCCTGTTTTCAATTTTTTTGTTTATATACCTAGGAGTGGAATTACTGGATCGTATGGTAATGCTGTGTTTAGTGTTTGGAGGAACCACCAAATTGTTTTTTACGGTGGCTGCACCATTTTAGACTCCTACCAGCAATGTGTGAGGGTTCAAAGTCCGCTGTGTCCTTCTCAACACTTATTTTCTCTTTTTTTGTTTATAGCATCCCAGAATTTGTGAAGTGGTATTTTGGTTTTAATTTTTTTTTTTTTAAGATTTTATTTATTTGTTTTTTAGAGTGAGGGGAAGGGAGAGAGAGAGGGAGAGAAACATCAATGTGGAAGAGAGACATTGATTGCTTGCCTCTTGTACACCCCCAACAGGGGAACCTGACTCACAACCCAGGCATGTGCCCTGACTGGGAATCGAACCAGTGACCTTTTGTTTCGCAGGTTGATGCTTAATCCACTGAGCCACACCAGCTATGGCCAGTTTTAATTTTATTTCCCTATGGTCATTGTGTTAATAATCTTTTCATGTGTTTTTTGGTTGTTTGCTTATCTTCTTTGGAGAAATGTCTGTTCTGTTCCTTTGTCAATTTTTAATGGGGATTTCTTTCTGTTGCTGAATCCCAGGGGTTCTTTATATGTTCACCCTTATGAGATGATTTGTGAATCCTTTCTTCCTTCCATTCTTTAGATTGTCTTCACATTCTTTTTTTTTTTTAAGTATATATTATTGATGATGCTATTACAGTTGTCCCATTTTTTTCCCTTCCCTTTTTCCCTTCCACCCTGCAGCCTCCCTCCCAGCAGCATTCCCCGCCCTCCCTTAGTTCATGTCCGTGGGTTGTACATACAAGTTCTTTGGCTTCTCCATTTCCTATACTATTCTCTTTTTATAAAATTTATTTTCTTTATTTTTTTCAAATACATTTGTCTCTGCCTTCCCCCCACCACCTTCCCCGGCCCCCTCCCCTCTCCCTCCCTCAATCCTTCCCCTTTGGTTTTGTCCATGAGACCTTGTTACACGTCCCCGACCCTCCCATTCCCTTCCTTTTCCCCCGTCCCCCCCTCCCTCCATCCCTCTTGTCTTGTTCGTTTCTTTTCCTTTCAGTGTTGTTGGTCTTATTTTCCTTGCATCTTTGTATTGCTGGTTAGGATCCGCTTACAGGTGAGATCATATGGTATTTGTCTTTCGCCCCCTGGCTTATTTCGCTTAGCACAATGCTCTCTAATTCCATCCATGCTGTCGCGAAGTTTAGTAGTTCTTTTTTTCTTTCTGCTGCGTAGCATTCCATTGTGTAGATGTACCATAGTTTTTTGATCCAGTCGTCTACTGATGGGCATTTAGGTTGCTTCCAGCACTTGGCTATTGTAAATTGTGCTCCTATGAACATTGGGGTGCATTGGTTCTTTTGAATTGGCATTTTGGGATTCGTAGGGTATAGTCCCAGCAGGGGAATCACTGGATCAAAAGACAGTTCCATTTTCAGCTTTTTGAGGAAATTCCACACTGCTTTCCACAGTGGCTGCACCAGTCTGCATTCCCACCAGCAGTGTACTAGGGTTCCCTTTTCTCCACAGCCTCGCCAGCACCTGTTGTTTGTTGATATGTTTATGATGGCCATTCTGACCGGTGTGATCATTGTGGTTTTGATCTGCATTTCTATGATGGCTAGTGATGCTGAGCATCCTTTCAAATGTCTCTGGGCCTTCTGTATCTCTTCCTTGGAAAAATGTCTGCCTAGGTCCTTTGCCCTTTTTTTGATTGGATCATTTGTCTTCTTGGAGTGGAGTCGAGTGAGTTCTTTATATATCTTGGAGATCAAACCTCTATCTGATGTATCATTAGCAAATATATTTTCCCATACGGTTGGCTCCCTTTTCATTTTGCTGATGTTTTCTTTAGCCATGCAGAAGCTTCTTATTTTGATGAGGTCCCACTTGTTTATTCTTTCCTTTATGTCCCTTGCTTTAGGAGACATATCGGTGAAAAAATTGCTGCGTGGGATATCTGAGAGTTTCCTGCCAATGTTCTCCTCTAGGACTCTTATGGTGTTGCGACTTATATTTAAGTCTTTTATCCATCTTGAGTTTATTTTTGTGTATGGTGTCAGCTGATGATCCAGTTTCAATTTTTTGCATGTAGCCGTCCAGCTCTCCCAACACCATTTGTTGAAGAGGCTATTATTCCTCCATTCCTGTACTATTCTTAACCTCCTGTCTTCACATTCTTGATGATGTCTTTTGATATGCAAGAGTTTTTAACTTTGATAAAGCCCAGTTTATCAAATTTTTCTTTTGTTGCATGTGCTTTTGGTATCATAACTAAGAAATCATTGCTAAATCCAAAACAATGAAGATTCCTATAATGTTTCTTTTTTGAAATACTAAGCCAATTTAAAAAAAGAGCTATAAGCAGCTGTTTCTAAATATCCGCACTGTTAAAGTGTTTTCTTGGGTGAACTGGAAATGAGTCATAGATTTCATTCTTTGAAAAACCTGCGGAAAGAATTCATCCCTCCCCTGTGTCACAGGCCCTGTGCCCCCTGTGCCCCCTGTGCCCCCTCTGCTGGGAGGAGCTCCCAGAGTGTCCCTTGTTCTGGGCTGAGGAGAGATAAATAGGCTTTCACTCCCATGGCTGCTCCCGGGCTCTGTGCTTCGAAGGAGTCTGTTCTGCGTGGTTGTTGTTGTTATCCAGGCTGGGTGGAAAAGATCAGTGGGCTCTGTTAAAAATGTCTTCCTAAGCTTAGTAGACTTTAAAGTCCTTCGATGGAGGAGGCTTTTCCTAAGATAAATGGATTGCCTCTTAAGCGAAGTACTTAATCAGTGATATCTGCTTAATTTATAGGAATTCAATCGATAACAAAATATGTTGAAAGTGGAAGTAGTATAAATTGATCACTGCTGTGAGCTAGGCATTATGCTGGGTGTTTTACATGAGATGTTACTTCGTCCAGCTGAGTTGGTCTGCTTACATGAGGAGATTGAAACTTGGAGGAGCTAAGTAACTTCATCAAGTCCATACTGCGAGAATGACTGAGCAGTGACTCAAATGTATGCCTCTGGTTCCGACATTTTATTTATTTGTTTGTTTTTTTGTTTAATCCTCACCCAAGGGCATTTTTTTAGAGAGAGGGGGAAGGAGAGAGAAACATCAACGTGAGGGAGAAGCATTGATTGGTTGCCTCTCTCACTGCATCCAGAGCAGGGATCATACACACAGGGAACAAACTGGCAGCCTAGGCACGTACCCTGACTGGGAACCGAACCTGTAGACTTTGGGTTACAGGACGACACTCCAACCAACTGAGCCACACCAGCCAGAGCGTCCAACCTGGTATTTTTAAACATAAAAGCAGATAGTTAATTAATAAAAGATGTGTACTAGTTTAAGGAGATAACACCTCAGGAGTTACATAGAGATATAATGAGATTATCATAATGAGATAAAATAGATTTTTGAAGATGCAGAAAGTAGAAAAACATCGCCCATAGTTTCTCCCTTTGCACCCATCACCTTGGACATTTTGTTACATTTCCTCCAGTCCCTTTTCCCTCTGCCAAGGTTTGGTTTACGAGGTTGTAGTCATGATGTGTCCTTAGTTTTATACTCTGCCTTATTACTTTTGTCTGGTAAGCATGTTATTCATGTTACTACATAAGGATATTGGTGATTCAATTAAACCCTAAGAAAATTTAGATGCCCTTGTTTCTTTGCATAATAAAACTTAGTCTGGAGCTAAAACACTGGTCTTTATACTGCCAGAGTACAGTTTTTTAATAATAAAGAATTTTTGAAATTCATATTTCATGCTTATTAGAATATAAGAACACTGGTCAAAATATGATAAAAGAATTTTGAAAAGGTTGGTTGTTTGGGCTGTTTATAGAGGTTATTTACCACAGACTCAGAATTATTTAAAAGAGGAAAGTATAGATTCAGTAAGAATTTGGGGCCATAATTTCATGTTATCTAGTGCTGATTCTTGAGAGCATGCCTTAAAGTAATTTCAATACCTTAACTCATCTGTGACCCCTAACCTTGGATTTTGTTGCCCAACCCACCATCTAACCATCCATCCATCCACCGTGCAGCCATCCAATCTTTTATTCATTCTTTGTGGGCTCAAAAAGAACTTAAAATGCTAGTAGTGGAGTTGAGGTATATTCAAAAATTATACAGTGCAAAGAAGAATGTGGACAGTATTCATAGAAAAGACTGAGTGCTCCAGAAAGTCGGATGCATTACCGCTTATTTGTGCCTTGGCTGATCAGTCCAGTTTGAAGACATGGTATTTGAAAAGGTTTTGGAGGATGAGTTAGAGGTGTAAGTTTTTTGAAATACAGTGTTTTTGATTTCACTGCTTTACTCTGTAATTGCTGTTTTTATGGTTTCTTATATGCTTTCTGTGGAGTAAAAAGTTCAAAATCAGTCATTTCTCTAAAAATTTAAAGTTTTGCCTTTTAAAATCATAGGCTCAGTAAATT